CTAAGTAAGGTTCTAATAGAACTATGGCAGATATATCCTGTTGTAGTTATATCGGGGGGGGGATTTTGAAGACAGATGTGAAGAAATAATTTAATTTGGTTGTTTATTAAGAAGTTAAAGAGGCTATTTAGACATTTTAGAATGATTTTAATGGAGAAACTAAAGCTTTCAGAAAGAATTACTTTACAGAATCTTATAATTTTGGAATTTATCTGTTGTTAAATTAATTAAATTTTTATTTTCTTAAAAAATAGTACATTTAAAATGCTTTGAGTTTAAAGTTTGTATTTTTGATTTTCATGAAAAAAATGTTTTTATTTTGCTAAAAAAAGTACACTGTAAAAAAATCATGGACTTATTTAAAATCAAAATTAAGTATTGCATTTTCATGTAAAAAAGCTGTGAATAGATGAAGAAATAAAATTACATGCTGTTGAACTATTTTAGAAGAAAATCTACAAATTCATCAATGCTTTAAATATCTGAGTTCCATTAATAAACATAGTTATTAAGACTTAATCCTATAATGCAGCATAATGTTTTAGTTTTTGCTTATATATGTGGCCAAATCCAAAGGGTTTTGTAACACTTAGCCGAAAAGCAGTTAGCTGACAGAACAATAGCCAACATGGATATTTACTTGGCAAGGACACTTAGCAGCTATGGGATATTTAGCCAACAGCAGGTTTAACCGATAACAAATTAGGCCAATAGCATAGTTAGCTAACAATGCTTGCATGTACGGGAAGATGCGAAAATGTTTTACTAAAAATTTATTATTTATAAGATAAAAGGCTCTTTTTAGGGGTACACAGTGAGAAGGTTTATCAACAAGTACCACATTTTTTGTCTTTATTTAACACTAAACAGACTATAAATTTTTAATTTGGACAGAAAAGCAACCTTATTTTGGCGAAGATTTTGAAATTGGATTTAAGAGCAATCGGACATAGGAGCAAAGCTTTTATATGGACAGAATGAGTGGTGCAAAGCAAAAAGAAACTTAATCTGTGAAGAAAAATAATAATGAAATATGAAGAAGCTAATATATTAGAATTTCGAAAACATTGATAAAGTAATGTCTTTAACTAAAATAGAAAAATTTTTGTTAATGTTAAAGGGTTCAAAGAAATAGTTTACCAACTGAAGAAGCTCTAAGTATAATTTTTATAGATCAAAAATCTAAATTATGACATAAGTGTCTAAATTGTGATTAGCTACTAAACATTTATTTATTTCTCCTTCCAAATTTACAATTCATGTTCCCTGACAAGAAATTTCAATGTTCTTCCAGTTTGACAGGTATTTGTCAAACCACATTGACATAAAATTCAGCAAGAATTAGAATCAAAAATGGGATCTAGAACTGAATAATGAATTTTACTGATAAGTGAGAAAATGACTTCAAAATTGAACTTGCAGAGAATCTAGAAAATTTCACAGTTAATAGAAAGATTGAACTATATTATCCCACTGTTACATTTGACATTTTTAATGTCAAAATGTACTTGATGATGGCAAGAGGTATTTTTTAATTGCTTATTATGTATTGTTATTGTTTTGCTCTGTACTTTTTTCTTTTCTGTTATTCGTGATGCATTTTTAAGATATTAATATCTATTAATCTAATATATATAATTATTTTAATATGTATATTAAAATATTAATATATGTTAAAATGTGTTCTAGAATTTTCATATTATATGCTAAACATTGATACATAAGTGTGCATACAAGTTAAGAATTAAAATGCAATATCAAAATTGAACATTTTGAACAGATAAATCCAAAACTGTATAAATGCATAATTTTTTTTAATGAAGCTTGATTTTAAGATATGTATATCCTTTAATTGAGTGTGTTAAACTTCTAACAGTGATAGCAAAATAGAATTACTTATAAAAGTCTGTTTTAACTTCTTATTTAAAATCCTGTTTACACAAAGCCTTGGGAACACTGCATTACATCAGCTTATAGGCATGTTTCGATTTTGCAAACATGGTTGCCATGTACTTAAATGGCTTTCAGTTTCAGGTAGTGGAAATTACTAATTTTTCATATATTGATCATAATTCGTTGTCTAGAGCCAAAATTGTTTCCTGTAAATAAATTGCTGTCTGTTTGCTTCTTCGTGAAAATCATGTTACTCTGCCAACTAACTAATATCTCCTTTCTGCTATTGCATGTGTCATGCTCCCAAAATTTGCTTTTTAGAATACTTGCTATCTAAGAAAGTAATCACCTGAAATCAGTTTCCTTTGAGATAGAATTTTCTGCTTGATGAAGCTTTTCCAAAATGTTTTTCATGTTGTCATAAATGATCTTCAGCTATAAATAATCCTAACAATCTTGTCATAACATTTCATCTCTTTTAATTACAAACTTGTTTAGATTCTCCATGAAGTCAATTTTCAGGTTATTGGAACTACTCTGATATGCACCCTCAAGTCACCAACATTTTTGGCGAGAAACTCCACGCTGCCATATTACTATCTAAATTTTTTGTCTAAATTTTGAACTTTAAACCTAAAATGTCTCCAAAAATGTGCTTTTCGCACATGCAAAAACCGCGTTTTGAACACACAATTGAAGCTAAAAATCCGAAACAAAAAATTTAGATAGCAAAAACGTTAAGTTTCTAACCGAAAATATTTGACAAGAATCCATGTACACAGCAATAGGTTTTAACTTAAAAAAACATCTACGAATTGCAAAATATAGGCAGCAAAGGAATCCATGATCTACGCACACCTCACTTTAATAAATTAACATAACAACAATAAATTTCAAAGAATACCATGTACACAGCATCGTGTTTAAACTTTAAAAAAAATCTTTGAATTGCACAATTTAGGCAACGAACGAATCTATGAACTACTCACACCTCGCTTTAATAAATTAACATAACAATAAATTTTAAAGAATGCCATGTACACAGCGTTCTGTTTCAACTTTAAAAAACATCTACGAATTGCACAATCTAGACACTATGCACTAATCAACAAAATAAACTAAAATAACTGAAATAAATATCAAACAATTAAAAAAAAATAATGACAAAAATTCATACTAAAAAAACAATGAACATAACATTCTACAAAATAAGAACAAGAATAAAATAAAATGCACTTACCATGAAGTAATGCTTTTTCGAACAGCAGAAATACCAAATTTCGTACCGCCTTTAACATGCCGCCACGTAATCACTATCGTATTTATATGACAGCCAAACACACTATCCAAAAAATTCATACTATGGTTCACAAATAAATAAAATCGCAAATAATCACAAATCCCTACTCCTATCATGCACAGCCACTAAAAATTATCTCCCAGACCCTCTTTTGACTCCTCCAAACACCCACTGCCCCTCAACAGGATGGCCACAATGATATTTAATTTTGCCGAACTTCAATTCAACAACTTCCACCATTTTATCTTTCCCCCCTATCTTCTCAGGCACAGACGTGAACCAACGAGCTCCAGCGAAAGATTTTTCAATGTCAACAGGGTTGCCATACAACACGCAATTGTGCCAAAAACCAGTGCAGAACACATATCGCCACATTTGGTGAAATTAGGGCGTGTATCAGAGTTGTACCAGGTTATTTTTACAACCATAAATAAATTTGTTATTCATTTCTTAAAAGATTCAATTTCTTTTGGTGGAAATTAATCTTAAAATGGTTTATTACACATCTCTTGTAATTTTAGCTAACGTGGTTTGACATATATCGGTAACCTGAATGAGTGTTAAAACTTCTTATTAGGGAACATGTGTACGAAAAGGAGAAATAAACAAAATTATGGTAGCCAATCACAACTGGACACCAAATCATAATTTTGACTTTTCGATGTACAAAAATTATCCGTAAAGCTTCTTCAGTTAGTTAATTTATTTGAACTCATTAAGATTAACAAAAAATTTTCTACTTTAGTTAATGGCATTAATTTTTCAACACTTTCAAAATCTTCTTCCTGTTAGTTTTTCAACACTTTCAAAATTATAATATATTAACTTTTTCACATTTCATTATTATTTTTCACTGCAGGTTACATTTGTTTTCGCTTTGCTCATTTTTTTCCATACAAAAGTTTCATTCCTATGTCTGATTGCTGTCTAAATTGATTTCAAAATCTTCGCCAAAGTAAAGTTTATTTTCTGTCCAATTTTAAAATTCATTACGTCCTTAGCATTAAATAAAGGCAAAAATGTGGTACTTATCTATAAACCTTTTCGTTGTGTACGCTGGAAATAGCCTTTGTCAGATAATTATGGACAAATTTTAGTAAAACATAGTCTCATATTTTTTTTTTATGTACATGTATATGTCTTCAGCTAAATATACTGCCAGTTTAAAGTACTGCCCGCTAAATATCTTGTTGGCTAAGTGTCCATGTCGTTAAATGGCCTGTCCGTTGAATATCCATGTCGGCTAAACGTTCAAATCAGTTAATGGTCCCTGTCAGCTAAGTGTCCATTGGCAAATATCCATGTTGGCTAACTGTCCGTGTTAGCTAAATGTACGGGTTCATGACTAGAATCCAAAATGTGCTGTTAAAATGCTGTATGAAAATTATTTAGTCAGATCATAATGGATGTATGTAATAATTATTGATGAAGTATTGATTTATGCGAGTTTTAGAAAAAGTTTATTTTACTAATGAACAAAAAGGCCTAGAAACTTGGTTTCAAGGTTTCAAAGAATTTCATTGTGGGGATTTATGATTATTTCTTCTTATGTGATGAAAAATATAGTTCAAAGATAAAGCTAAAACTTAAAAAGTATGTCTAATAAACAATATTTCAGTACATGAGTTTAAATCTGTTAACTTACCCATATAGACTTTTGTTTCACTTAATAAATTGTTTTGTATTTTACTGAAGGCTCACGCTTTTTTTTAATGAAATATTGCTGAGAATACTTTTGCTAAAAATCTTTCTGCATGCTGAGCTGTGGGAGTTATTTATTGTATTAAAAGAAAATATTGTGATTTAGGTCCATATACATGAGCACGGTGAAGAAACTTTAGAAGAAATGGGTTTTCGATGTGGTGAAAATGCAAGGAATCACATCATCATTGGCAACAGAAATTTTACACCCCCAAAAACACTTGATGTAAGTTCGTTCAAAAAGTATTTGTGTTATTTAAAAAAAATTAAGAAATCTCAATTTTTTATGTCAATTTGGCATTCTGTAATTCTTTTTTAGTCTTTTTTTTCTTTTGTCTAATATTAAGTATATTAATTAGTAAAATGATCTAGTGAGTGTTTAAAAAAATAATAAATTTGTATGTTGTTTTTTGGACTCAAGTTATAAATTCACTTCTGTTAACATTGTTTAAATCACTGCATTTGTGACAAAGATTTGCCATTGAGATTGTTTACTTTTTCTTTTTATCTCTTTGTGATCACACGTAAAATTTCTTTTAGAAGTTGCTAGTTTCTGTTTTTAAAATACTTAGCTGTGCAATTAATATGTGCCTGGTGTATGTGCTCTTAATGCTTTAATGGATGAAAAATGAGTTTCACGTTTGGAACTGTGAGAATGGAGACTTGCAAATGGCTCAAATATGGGGGTATTTTGTGTTAAGTCTGATTTATAGACAACTACAAAAAACTGATCTTGAGATGTTTAATAGGTTAGAGCTTAAGCACTGTATTAGTGCAAGCATAAATTTTTCCTTATTCTCATTGCTAAAAATCAGATTGGGAGAGAGACATGCAATGTAAAATTAAGCAAAAAAGCAGTCTTATTGAAATTAAGCAGCAAAATTAAAAGCAATATCAGTTAGGCAAAAAAACAAGCTCGGTTAAATATTTTAAATAAACTCGATTTTGAGGATGACGGGACATAGGTCCCCTTTTTTTCAGGAGCTCTGGTTTTTTCTATTTGTAATGTGAGCTGCTTGCATGAACAGCTGTCTAAAATAATAAGAAAAAGAAATATGTATTAATGATTCCAACATAATTTCATGAAAATATTTAACATTTCTAATTTCAGAATGAGTGATATAAATGCATTTCATTTAAACCAGTGACATTAAAAAGTAGAAAGAAATATTTTTAACTCTGTTTATTGCTTATGTTTTTCTGTGTTTTACAATTTTTAATGAAGATGTTTTAAGTTTTTATGTATTTTTGCTGTGCTACAAAGTGAAAACTGAATTAATTGAATGAGACATATATATCCAGTAAATTCAAGGAAATAAGTTTAAATTAAATGCAGCAAAAAAATATGTATAATTTAATAAGGCCATACAAGGAAGTCATGTATCCACATCAGATATTTTAAAATTGTGTTGCCTTAGCTCGCTTTCAAATTATTGAGTTATTTAATCAAAAATTCATGCAGAATATGAAATAAATAAAAAAAAAAAGAAATGAAGACTTCAGGCTTTGAGGTGCATATGTTTGAGTGGAGGATTAGGTGCCTTCAAAATTGGGCGGCTCTAGGTGCTTTTGTCCCCCCCCCACAAAGTGAGGAATACTTGTATGCAAATATGTATGCGAAAGAAGTCTTCATAATTTAATAGTAAAGATGTAAACAAGCCACTTTCCCTTAGAAAGTCCTCCATGAAAACTTCTTTTGTCTTGCATGCTTTCCTACAATTAAACTAAACCAAATCTTTAAATTTAAGCCTTCAAGCTGTGCAGTAAATACAAGTATTATAGCTGGTTATATTTATGAATGAACATTTTACAATAATATTGGCAAAAGAATTATTCTCAGGATTTCTCTTGCAAAAAAACTGTTTTGGAATATTATTAAAAGTAAACTGGATGTTCTAGAAATGGAAAATTTTTCTGTGTACATGTGTATAATTTTTTTATGTGATTTAAAAATTTTATCATATAATTAACATTTATGTTAAAAGATAGAATAGGTAATAAACTTTTCTTTTCCATTAATATAACCAGTGTCAAATTTAAAATATTTTCTGCTTTAGGTCACAGATGCTGATGGTCTTGCTGATGACACATCTATTCTTGATAACATGAAAGGAAAGTTAACTCTTGACAGTGGTGATAGACCCTGTACCTATGTGCCACCACCAGCTCCACCTCCATACACACCAGGAACTTCTGAATTCTCATACAATTATAGCTACAGCAATGCTCTTACACGCCAAGATACAGGTATGTAATAGTACAGTGCGAAGTGCAAGATCCGGAATTGTTGGAACTTAAGTGATTCCAGATTTTGGAAATTTCCCAATTTTAGATCATTAATTTAAATCTAGTAGGATGGCATGTAGACATGCAAACATTTGGGTTTTACATATTGTTTAGGCCAGATAAAAGAATGCTACCTCACATCTGGGCTGGTGTCCCTGCACCGGGAGGCAGAATATAGTGGCATCAAAAATTTGCAGAATTTAGGAGATGCACTGAGCAGTAGAATTTAGGAGCGACAAAATTTTAAGAATTTAGGCAGTACCTAGGGAGCAGAATTAAAGGATCATAGGGAAGCATGGGCCTGGTGGCAAAATACGTAGCATAGGCCCTGTCCTACAACAACCACTGAAGGGTTAAAAGTGTGGTTCTGACCAACATCAATATACAGTTTGTGCTTTAAGGTGTGACTTCTCAGCCAGCAAGCATTTGAAAGTGACATGCAGGAATCTGTTAGTGTGTAGAAAATCCCTTTTGTAGCATACTTGTTTCTGTTTGTTGAGTATGATGTTCTTCACTCCAAGTTATTATAATCTTGGAATGGAAGAGGGATTTAAAAAAAAAATATATATTTATTTAATTTTTGGCTGGAGATCTGGAGGTTTGGTTATTGGATTGTTCTAATTATTGGACATCTGTATTTTGGATTGTAATAATTATATTTCCATTGTTGTTGTTGTGTGTATGATGAAGCATATTCAAATAGTGTCATGGGCAAAGATTACAGTCCTGGCAATCTGCAAAATTTTATCATTGTAGAGGTTTGATCTTCATAGAGGTTTGATCTCGTAAACAAGACCCCCGATTTTTAACAAATCAGCAAGTATGGCCAGACAATCAGAAATGTGTGTAGTTGTCAGTTCTGTGTGTGTACTCTCTCTGCCAGTTTTTAATCCTCTGTGATAGCCAGTTCTGAGCCTGACTACAGTGCTAGTTATAAATTGATCTCTATTTATGTTATACAGCTGGTGCTTTATTGGAATTGAATATTTCTTCAGTCTTTATTTGGCCAGAACATTTACATCCAAGAAAATGACATTTACGTTATTATTATTATAGTGATTTTGAGCCTCTTTTGTCAGTTTATCTGCATTTTCATTATTGTGATGTTGACATGTGCTAGCAACCATTGAAAAACGCAGTTCTTATCCAACTTTTGAACCTCATTTAAGCTCAAGTGATCCCGTTGGTAATCGGGGGGGGGGGGGATTTCGTTAGTGATCATGCCTTTGAGTCACAGAAGATGAGTCCTTTTGCTTGAATGGAAATGGGAAGAGTTCTATGCATATCAAGTGCCTCTGCTATTGCCAGAAGCTCACAAGTGAAGTTAGAGACTATGGCTCTAGTGCCAGTTTTGTTTTGATAAGTAGTATCACCTGGGGTAGTCAGATGTACTCCAGAGCTTCAAGTGATTGTCTTATCAGATGAACCGTCTGTATAAGCATGTACAAAATCCTCTTTTGGATATTGTTGCATTAATGATGTAGCTTGCTTCTTTTTATTGCATGGGCCTAGTAGGTTGGGTACTATTTTGGAGTTCATAGGAAGCCTGGAAGGAAGTATTAGCTCTTGGAAGGAATTCTGTGATCATCAAGGTCGAGAACTGCTCTGTTATCTTTGTTAAATTGCATAGGAAATGACTTTTTCGGTCTAATGCTGCTGTATGGTTTCCAAAGGTTTTCCTAGCGAGATGTGTTCTGGTACACAGCTTCTTGCCTTATTTGTAAAACTGTCTACTTTTTCCAAGGCTTTAGAGACCATATTGCTAAATTACTTTAAAATTATTAGTGGAAGACACTGCATCATTAATGATTTTTGTGGCCTTTGCGTTGGCACTTTCGAATTTCTTCAAGACAGTCTTGGAAGCATGAGTCCAAATAGGAGTTGGAAGAAACATCTAAGTGTCTGGGGAGAAAAGCTGCTCAATTTGTTCCCCAAAGAATTTTAATGATTCTTAGTGTTTTCAAAGCTTTTTTAGCAGAGGTTTTGACATGCCTAGTGAATCTTAATTAAGAAATAGCAGTTGTCATTTTTAGTAGTCGTTTTTTGGAAACCATTGATGATGGATTGACCAAGATGGAATAATTGGTTGTCAGTGAAATGTTGTTTTCTGTAGGCTGTCTGATTTAAATTTATATTGTTTTTTATGAGGACCTCCCTGATTCTGGATTGAATAATTTGTTCCATCATTTTGCAAAGGTTGTTGGTGAGGGTGATGGGCACATAGATCTTGCATTCTGTAGCTGATTAGTTTGGTTTGAGTAAAGATACAATGATAGAAATTTTCCATACATAAAGCAGCTTACCAGATTTCCATAATGTGTTAAAGATGATTAACAAGCATTGTCTCACTTTTTACCGACATGTTTAAACTATTTCTCCAAAAATAGGATAATTTCATCTTTCTTTAGTTCCTTTATTAGTGTTAATAGTAATATCTAATTCTTCTAAAGTGATGTCCTTTAGAAATAAGTCCTCATGCCTGTACCCTATTGTCTCTAGGAGCAATTTGTTAAGAGTGTTTTATTTTTTATCTTTTTTCTGATAGTCAATTTTATCATTAGAAGATTGCACTGCAAGTTCATTGGCCACTTCATTAGTATGTACTGTTTCTGCTGTAGCATTTTCCCTTGGATCTAGGGGTCTTATAAAATTCGGCCCATTTTTGTTTATTGGCAACAATTTTTTTCTTTCAACTGTGTTTGATGCCCCTGTGATAGCAGTCTTCTGTTTTCTTATGTGCTTTTTGCTATAAGTTGATCATTTAACAAGTTTGCCTTAAATTAAGGACTCTATGTTTTGGTCCTTCCTGTAAGGAATCTAGTTTTGTTTTCTTTTTCTTCTTGGAATGAATTTCTTAGCTGCAGTGTTGAAGTTATGTGTTCATCTCTTCAGCTGTTTCTCAAGTGTGTCTGCTGCAAAATCATTACTGTGGTAGAGGCTGTTGATATATTGGGTGAAGCCTACCCGGTCTGTTTTTTAAAATCAGGATCTTTTTTCTTGGGCAGGGATTTCAAAATGTAGATTAAGCTTCGTAATGATTGGTCAATCATCGTTCATTGCATTGTCAATGATCTTTCCATGCACAGGTATTGAATATGTGATAATTTACCATGGTGAGATCAAGAGACGGCTGTGTACCTGTTATTTTTTAAAGATAAGTGTTTCCTCTTTTTAGGGTAGCCACATTTAGGTCTATCAAAAGCTCTTTATCTGCTTTCCCTTCTCATCTAGAAAATGTGAGAATCTCACATTGGACTTGTAGTATTAAAATTGCCCAGGATAACAATGAAGTTAAATTGGAAATGGGGTATGTCATGGAGGATTTCTGTATCGATACTTGAATTGTCTGGGTGATAGATGTTAATCAGGATAAAGGTATGTCTTGCAAGGAGGATTCTCATGGTCTGAATTTCTGTGCTTTCCTCATGATCAGTTTTGATTTCTCTGTATTTGATAATGCTGTTTGTAATAAGGAAATCAAGTCCTCCTCCCATTCTGTCAGTCCTATCTTTTCGTAGGATACTATTGTTCTTAAGGTTGAAGGTTTTTTTTTTTTATTTTTAGCTTAGTTTTCTGAAGGCAAGCAATATGAATGTCATTAATCTCTAGGAGGACGAGAAGTTCATCCTACTTTCTTTGTGTTTTGTTCATATTTAGTTGTAGACGACTTAGTGTCTTAGTTTTACACTGCATACCATGCTTTTGGATGTGAAAAAGAGGTTTGTTGTCCCATATGCGGTAGCACTATTCTTAGGTACTGAATCTGGACTCATCATAGAAAGAAGTGTCATTGCCCAAAAGATTGGATTTCTGCCTGCTGGTATGCAGAAGGGATATCATTTCCCTTCTACCACCCAAAGGAAAACCAATGGAGACATTCCCTTATCTGCCACTTGACACATTCTCTAGGGATTACAGGCTCCCATGATAGATTTGTCATTACTTCTTCAATATTGTATTATGTGTTAAATTAGCATGTTTGAAAATGCTACTGTATTTGTCATAAGTAATAAGAATTGCCGGTATTTAATATACTTTTCATTGACCTTTTTTGATAAACAAGAACTGTCTTCAGACAATGCAATGTAGCACCAGTAATGGATAAGTGTTATATTGTAACACATATGTAAGGTCTTCGCATATGAAACTCTGATTAATTCTTAACAACATAGTTTTGTTTTTGTGAGGAAGAATGTAAATTAACGGCTGTTTTCTTCTTTTTATGGCATTTTATGAAAATGATTAAAATTTGGAACCTGCCTTCTATGTAACAAACAATGGAGCATTTTCAACCTGGATCCTGCTATCGTACTCATGACATCAGAAAACTGTAGGATTTGGCAAAATAATGGTATAAAAACTATATGGAGAATGATCTGTGGTTATCTAATTAAAGACTCATCTATTGTTTGAAAATCCCACTTCAGTGGGGTCCATACAATTCTTAAGTCTATAGGTTTCTGCAAAACTTTTTGTCCTTAAAACAGGGTTTGAATGATCCTTAAAAGTACTTATGGTTTTTTGGAAATGATTTTTAGAAGTCCTTAATTTCAGCTAAAACTAGCAGTCCTTAATTTTACTTATCCGACACTTTTTTTTTTTTTTTTTTTTTTTTTTTTACACGACTGCCATTTTGAGTGTGAATTACCATTTTTGGGGAATATTTTTAGAAATAATAAAAATTTTGTTTGAAGCTTTGCGAAATTTTGTCGTTTTTTTACAAAAGTATGACACTTACACTGATAAATATCATCATCATAATAATAAATTAAACTGATGTCTAAGAAACAACATTAAAATAAAACATTTTTATTTTCTCCTGTCATATTTTAAAGTGATATTACTGTGTATTTTGGTGACTTCGAAATATTTTGATTCTGAAGAATAAATAAGATAATAAATGCTATAGCACAGTTTCTGAAATGAGAAAAAATAAAAGTACTACTATAATTATTTAAAAAAATTTTCATTTGTCTTTAAAAAAATTTTTTTTTTCATATAAGGTTTTTTTTTCCTGTAATTGTTTTAGAATATTGAAATGTGTATCAGTCTTCTCTTGAAAATTCACTTTACCCTTCTTTTTTCTGATTTTTTTTAATCTTCTGGCTTTTTGCTTATAGGTAGGGATAAAATTTTTCTTTTGGATTTTTAGACTTAGCATCTGGGAATATCTAAAGGCAAGATTTATAGATTATTATTTGAAGAAAATGTGATTAAATGGAAAATGCATCTTCTTGGTTATAATATTTAATAGATATTTTTTATATGAATTTGGATGAATTACTTATCTTTCTCATGGGAAGATCCACGAAAGAAAGTGAAAAAATAATTATTTGAATTTTCTCCTTTTGATCTTAGAAATCTTTAATATTTTTATCTTCCCCTTATTTTTTAATATGTTTATTTTTCTACTAGACACAAGCATCACAGCAATCAAAGAAATCAAATAAATTGAAAACCAACAGTTAATTAAAAGATTTATCTTATATGTCTCAGAGGTAAGCACCATACCTACCTCAGTGCCTGCCCTAAATTCTAAAAATTTTGTCCAAAATTGTTGCTCGGTGCTTCCCTAAATTCTAAAAATTCTGCCATGCAGTCTAAGGTACCGGTCTTGACCTTATATCATTTCATTTTTATTTTCAGTACTCATATTATTTAAAGAAATAAGATTAACAGTTTCTTCTTTACATTCTAAGTACAAGCAACAGTTTCTTCTTTACATTCTAAGTACAGGCAGTTCTTTAGAGTAACAAAAAATCTTTAATTAAATCTGAAAATTTTAAAATTGAGAGGCAATTCATTGAAAAAGAAATTGGTTATACAAAGAAAGAGAAAATTATTCTTCACAAGTACATTGTTGAAATGTTAACAAATTAGGAAAAGTGGAGACTAGTAGGAACATTGATGTATTAAAATAAGTGAACTTGGAAAAGATGCTAAAGAGCAGAAAATTGATGTAAATTAGTTAAAATGACTGGAAAATTTTCAAGTTAAAAAGATGCATAAACATTTGGTTGTTTGTTGTTGCTACAAAACATATTTTTTTGGTAGCCTTTAATGTATAGTTATACTAATGCCATTTTAAAATCATTATTGTAAATTTTAAGTGCTAAAACTGTTCTTAGTGTTTATTTAATAGATATTTATAGAAATTAGAAAAACTAATATTTAATAGGGTAAATAATTATTCATTATAGGTTGTCCATGTCAACAGCAGAAAATGTAGCTGCTATATTAGTAGTAAGCATTAGGTAAAACTAGCGGACATATTCAATTATTTAAAGAAAAGTTCTAAGTCAGAAAACCTAGTAGCTTCATGGGAAAGAAGTAAGAAAAAGGCAAAGCATGTGCATGCAAGGGGGCTGTCTCTTGCAGTAGAGTAGTAAGAGAGCAGTATAAAACTATTGATAATGATGAGAAAAGCTCATTATGATGCTCTTGAGTGAATTTGGAAATTTAATAGCAAGTGTAAATTTAACCAATTATTAATCAGCATCATGAGCTTTTATTTTATAGTTTCTCTCTAAATCTATTTGAAATTGTGTCAGTATTGGATATTAAAAAGGGAAATCATATGCGAGTTTGTCAATTAGTTCATGACGAACTCGCATTCAGTTCAATTAGTTCATCTAACTACATAATTTAATTATTTGTAACTAGCTGCTCACCCTTAAAGTTATCTGTCCGTGTTATCTCCTTTTCTTAACCCTTTATTGTGTATGGAAAGTATACACCACCAAAAATGTAAAAATTTATTCCTTTCAGTCAATGAGACTTCAAATAATACATATGAACTAAATTGCTTTCTGCAAGTCCATATTTGGGTAGGGTTTGCTGAAGTGAAATTGTTGCTAGAAAATTCTGGCAATAGTGGGGTCATTCTCAATTGGAAATGATGTGTATAATCTTGATTGCTTGCCTTCCTGACACTGAATTTCTAAAAGTTACTAGCTGTTACTCTAAAAAATATGTGTTATTGTATGTACTAGTGATGTGGGATAGAAATGTCTTCAAGGCTGCACTGGGTATATGCATTATCATTATAAGCTGCTTGAAAGATTACTGAAGAGAGTTCATGTTTGGTCAAATATTGCTTATAGATTGATATTTCATAGTAAATAAAGAGAATGGTGCTGTAAACAATATACTATGATGTGGCTTGGTGACCATTAGACATTGGCACCAGGATACAGATCCAGATATTGAAAGCACAGGAAAAACTGCACTGTTGTTCCTACAGTGGTTTTCTATATCACAGACCTTGGTTTGATTCTTCAAATCATTTACCACTTTCGTTGGGGGTGCAATTATAACCTGTCATTGAGTGCATCATAAAATAGCAACTGAAAAAGGAGGCAGCTCTGGTTTCTCCTATAATATTATCTTTAACTTAATTTTTCATTAGGAGTAATATACTAGTGCTTCTTTAATCCTGCTGCTTACCACAGTTACACTGATTTCTTTTCTTTATCTCAAATCAAAATTTTACCATAAAAGTGAATATAATGGAATGTGATTTATCTTTAGAAAGTTTGTAGGGTATCAACTTGAGTCTAACTTAAAAGTATCTAACTTAAAAGTTCCTTAGATCCTACCCACACTGCTAAGCAAGTTATTGCTTTCTCTGTTTATGTTCTACAAAAGTCATAAGGAGGTGGTAATAACCTTTTTATTTTAAAACTTGAACTTAACAATGGCACAGATCAAATTCCACCACTTGCAGGTATTAGTGAACAAAAACTTGAATTTACAAATTACTATGAGTTCATAAAAGATTACATAAATTCACTTAAACTTTTAATTACATGATTTTAACTTCAGTTAGCAAAATCTGGAATACTAACTTAGTAGAGGTGGGTGCGAATAATCTCTACTAATTTATCTCAGTTGCCTTCTGGTAAGTAGTATAAGACATAAATAATGCTGGAATACTAATTTAGTATAGCTGGGTGTGAGAAGTACAAACTGAGATAGCCATTATCAAAAGCTTTATATCTGAAACATTCAAAATCCTCACCTTAAATAGTGGTATCTCATTTGCCTTCTGGTGAGGACTAAGGAAATAAGAAGTGACACTACATATTTGACTTGTATTGAAATGGATTCATTAGCATAAACTGTAAGCTATGACAGATGAATTGAAGATAGTTATGCTGTTTGACTTTCAGCCTTTCTGCAGAGAGTGGGGATTGCTTCTGTGATGGTAATGTTTGTAAGCTTTTCAAGAAAACTGCATTGAAAGCAACAGTAGGGATTTTAAATATCTTTTAAAATTCATAATTTTCCTAGTCTGTTATAACTTGTTTGGCCTCCTCGTACCACTTCCGCCTCCCCAAATCCATGTTTTATTTTTCATGTTCATGGTTAATTTTAATTGTCTAATTTGCTCAAAATACAGGTATTATTTGTTTAAGCTGTGTTGATTTCATAGCTTTGGTTGCCCTTTAATCTATTTTAAATGTTAGAGAATTTTAGCAGTTGGTTTTCTTTTTTACATTGTTTGTTTTATTTCAGCAGTACATACTTGTTAATTAGCGTTGTTAATAATGTTTTTTTTTTTTTTTTTTTTTTTTCCTTTGAAGGTTTTGTTGGTTTAGTAAACCAAGCAATGACTTGTTACCTAAACAGTCTTCTTCAGACTCTTTTTATGACTCCAGAATTTAGAAACACTTTATACAGGTAAATTTGATTTTATTATGATTATATATTTTCATATCCCTTTATGTCTTAAGAGTTTAAAATGAATTTTCTCAACTGATATGCTTAATGCCAAATTTCCTCTAAATAGTGCTTCTTCTCAGAAACTAATGTATGGTTTATTCTGCCGCTACTTATCCATAACCTACATTCTTCTGGATTTAATTTTTCAAAATGTTTATGAAAACAATCTTTGTTACTATGTTCTTTTATGCTTGAAGATTTTTTTTTTTTTTAATTGCATGTTGTTTTTGTAAAGATGCTAAAATTCGTTCTGTTGTGGTGATTTGTCACCAAATTTATTTTGGGAGTATAGTTTTATTAAACTTACCATCAGATCATGTGTTGAAGAACAATAACTCTACCTTCAATAGCTTCATGGGAAAGAAGTAAGAAAAAGACAAAGCATGTGCATGCAAAGGGGCTGTCTCTTGCAGTAGAGTAGTTAGAGAGTAATATAAAAACTATTGATAATGATGAGAAAAGTTCATTATGCTCTTGAGAGAATTTGGAAATTTAATAACAAGTGTAAATTGAACCAACTATTAATCAGCAGCACGAGCTTTTATTTTATAGTATCTCTTTAAAATCTATTTGAAATTATGTCAATATTAGATATTGAAAAGAGAAATCATATGTGAGTTTGTCAGTTAATTCACGCTGTAATATCGCTACAGATTTTCCATGTAAAGATGTAGAACTTATAAGCATAGCTAAATTTACTAATTGGACTTGATCTGTGAGTATTGTATAAAAAGTTAGATTTTGTACTTGCAGCCTTTTCCACTCTCAGAGCCAACACTGTTCATGACTTATCTAGTTTGGTATGTGAAAGTGTATGTATAGAATGAATTAAAAGGGGAAAAAACTGCAAAGCCATCTTTTTCAAATATCTTGTATCACAAAAAGGAATATGAAACATCCTGGAAGTTTCCTAGAATTGGGCAGCTAGTTCTGCTGCCTGATTGGATCTTAATCATAGAAAGATTAACTTGAGATATAAGTCTGAATAAAGTGCAAACTGTAAGTTGTTGTTGTTGATGATGATGATGATGATGATGATGTGTGTGTGTATACATGTAGTCATTAAAATCCATAGTTATGTAGTCTTCAATCTAAGTACTAAAAAGTTAATTTGAATTTTAGATGGGAGTTTGATGGAACGGAAGAAGAAGGTACTAAAAGTATCCCATTTCAGCTTCAAAAACTGTTTCTGCAGTTGCAGGTAATGCCATTTTGTTGAGTAATCAAATACCTGAAAGTGGTAAAGTTATTTTATGCTGAGTGACCCTGATTATGTAGTAATTTCTGTACTGGTAGATTTGAAAAAATTTGAATAATTAGGTTTGCTATTTTTATCAATTCTGATATTTTCAAATATATTTAAATGATTACTAGATAAATTACTTGATCTTCCTATACAAATCAGTACTAAATGCTTCTTAAATAAAGGAGTGGGGGAAGAAAAAAATATCTGAAAGGATTCAGATTTTAACTTACCACTAAAGTGCAAAAGTTGTTAATATGCACATTACCTAGCTAATCTGCAGATTGACTGATTTACTCCATTAAAGTGCAGAATCAGGTGTTTTCTCCATTTTACTTTAAGTAATGTGCATATTAACCCCTTCTAGGTTGGCGCCGCATCTCATACGTTCGGTGTTATTATGCCCGTAAGGTCGGCATCCTAGGCCATGTGGTGAAGTGAAAAATTCCATTGTTGAAACTGAATTCGTCGCTACTCATATGTCGCTTTAAATATTATTTTTGTATTTCTGAATATTGCTAAGAGATAGTGTACGGGATATTCCGCTTTGTATATCTGTTATTGAATATCTACATGATATCTGTTAGAATTTCAACTAAAAAATCATTCAAGATATTTTTGATATTCATAGCCAATTTTTTGATAAAGCAAGCAAAAAAAGATGTTTTTTTTTTGATTAAATAAATGATTTTTGTTGTGTGACAACTGTGGTTTTTATGCTCTGATGTCCAAGGCAGGTTATAAAGCTGTTATAAGTAAGGTTGGAAAACCATTTTCCGAAGCATTTTTAATGTAATTTTAATAATTGTTTTTATGTAGATATTTATATTAAGCACATCAAAACAATAGAGTTAATAAATATAGTATCACATTGTATTTTTTCAACTTAAAACTTGGGTGCATTGCAGGGAAAACTGGTGACCAGTGGACGAGATATTACATATTTGACCACCTGTAGGTCCATCAAAACAACCAGTTTTCAAATCCCCTCTTAATAAAATTCTGCTGTTTGATTTGACACCTACTGCAACATGGTAGTTTTGACCTCATCATTATTGCGGTGAAGACGGCCTAGATGCTTCTTCAAATGCAGAACAAGCGGTAGTCACAGAATGCTAATTGGGACTGATGAAAATGATCAAATTATTCTCAGTGAAACGTTATGTTATCTCGTGTTCATTTAGCCATGTGGGCATTGTCACGAAGGAAAAGGATCCTCCTACTGAGCATGTCATGTCTTTTGTTTTGCATTGCATAGTGCAGTTTAAGCTTTCATAATGCGTCATAGAATTTAGGTCACCATGAGGCAAAAAGTCCATAAGCAACAGCCCCTTTCTGTCCCCAAACACTCACTGTACACCAGACTGAAACTGTTTGCTAGAACTTCACACTTTTGTTTGATGATGAATGCTGCAATTCCATGGATTAATGCTTTTTTTCTGGTGTAGTGTAAGCTACTTGACTTTTGTCTTCTGTGACAATTTGGCTTAAAAAATCATCACCCCCTCACTGTACCGCTGAAGAAAAATTAAAGCACTACCTGAAGTTTGGTTTTGTGCATATCTGTCGACATTTTCAGTACCCTGCGTGTGCACAATTTTTGATAATTTAAGCAAAGTGTCTGATCCATTGTACTTGTTCCTCAACTTTCTGCACCAGATCTTCAGTAATGACATTAATGATTGACGTTTATTATCATGAACATTTGTCTGGCCATTTCGAAAAAAAAAAAAAAAAACACTCAATTTCTATATCATTCCATCATTCATAATGTTTTCTCCATACGCTTCACTAATCTATTCAGCTGCTTTCACATCGTTAGTACTAAGAAAACAAATCACTGATCGTATTTCACAGTCTGCAGGATTCTAAATGAGTAGAGCCATTTTTTAAATACTAAAAAAACAACATTAACACTGTCGGAAATTTCCGTAATGGTGCCAGTGGCTTGTAAATGTTGGTAAACAGCATGCATACATGGAATGCAGAATGCACTGCTGCTGCTCCAAAATTTTGAAATGGTATTTACTTTAAAAACATATCTCGAAAGTGTGTATGTACGTGTAAGAAAAAAATATGTAAATCAGAATTCTAACTTTAACTAGGAACCCCCTTTTTTCCCTCTTTTCTGTTAAACTAAACTATGTTTTTCTCACCACTGTTGAGCTAAAATAATACAAACACAAAGTGTCAGACTTACAGCTGTTGGCTTGACTGTACAAAAATTTAACTGGCTACAATGCCATTGCTCCTGCTCAAAGCTACAAGTAATTACTGGGGCAGACAGGTGTTCACATATACTATTCCCGTGCCGCTAAAATTCACACTTACCAACCCTCCCCTGGTGTTGACGTAGAGAATTCTGTGAAGCTACCGGCAAAGATCTGTACCTAGACAGTCTCGGAGCCATGGTGTTGTAAAGTTCATGAACTTCGTGGCTTCAGATCTCAGGGTTGGGTCATCTGTATGGTTTGACCTCAAGCAATTGGCCTCACTTCCTAGAACTGATAATTCTGTACCTCGGTGTTTTGATGGCACTGAGTTTGCAAGGTAATGTCCTGATTTGATGGGTGGCCCACATAGTACTGGCGAGTGGAACATTAGATGACCAGTCAGATCTCCAGGTGTGTATGTTTCACACCACTGTGAAACCTGGGAACTAGGAGTAGTGACTCTGTTGCCCAGAAGGTAGCAGCAGCTTTAGAGAAACTTTTAAAGTCTCTTGCCTCTGATTGGGGTCCTGAGGTGGCAGTATGATTTGCGTACATTTTAACTCTAGGGGGAATACTACCTGCCTGATATGGGGGGGCTTGCCAGTTGGGACCGTTTCATATAGTGTCGAATAACTTTATTACCAAACCCATGGTGAATATCCAGCGTTCACTTTTAATCTAACAGTGTCTTTCACTAGGCTAGATAGACATCAGCAGTAGCATCCAAGATTTTTACTAGTCATATGGGTTATAGTTCTTTCTCTCAATTTAAACTACACCACTTGCATAAACCTGTAAACTGAACGAGCACGTAGCAAGATGAGGTATAAAGAAAAGACTCAAAACTAAATCCTAACTATTAGTTATATGAAGTGCCATGTATGTATGTTTTGTATTAGTACAGCTTTAGTATGTTTGTATTGAACAGTTAGAAAGGAAGTAAAATAGTATAATATAACTAATTTAGGAGACTTTTTTTTTTCTGGTGTTTAACACTATATAAAAAAAAAAAGCTGTTTCTTAAATTATTATTATATTATAGTCCTTCCAACTATTTTAACGTTGAAAGTAACTAGAAGCTTATAATAGTGAGTTTTTGGGCTTATTGTGTATGTGTGTGCATGCATATTTTCTAAAATTCTTTATGTAACAAGGTAATTAAAATGCTAAGAGTAAGCTAGAAGGATCCAACATTTAATATAACCAAAATTTTAATTCTAGGTATTTAGTTTAGTAGCATATTTAAGAAGATTGTTTCATTTTGTCATAGCATATTTTCAAAATGGATTCTAATTTATGTGCATCTCCAATCCATGTTATTCTATATTTGCCTTTAATATTATTTATGGAATAAGATCAAAATATGTAGCTAACTTTGCTATTTTGGTTATTATTATTTTCTTAATGTTTGAAGCATCTTTTGCAGACGAGTAAAAAGCCTGCTGTGGGAACCACAGAGCTAACTACGAGTTTTGGCTGGGATAGCAGTGAAGGTCAGTTTAGTTTCTTAATTACTTTTATTATTTTAAACTTTTATTTTTATAAACTTTCATTTCCCCCCCTCCTAGCATGGCAACAGCACGATGTTAATTACTTTTATTATTTTAAACTTTTATTTTTATAAACTTTCATTTTTTCCCCCCTAGCATGGCAACAGCACGATGTTCAAGAGCTATGTCGAGTCATGTTTGATGCATTAGAGCAAAAATTTAAAAACACACAACAAGCTGACCTCATTAGCAGATTGTATGAAGGGAAACTGAAAGACTACGTAAAATGTCTCGAAGTAAGAATTGAATTTCTGAATTCATTTTGAAAAGTTTACGAGATCATGAGATAAAAATTTGAGATTGTCACTTTGAAAATTTATGAAAAAAATGTTGCAACTTTAGAATATGAAAATTTTCTTTAATTAAAAAAAAATTGCTTTAGTGTTTTCTTATTCCTTTTATGGACATCTTTGATAGAATAGTTCTCAAAAGGTAGAATGCATGGAAGGTTATAGTTTATTAATGCAAACAATGTAAATAAAAAAATATAATGTAATTTCTATATCTTTTTCTATTTCTTTGACATTACTTTTTTGTGAATTTTGTGCTCAAAGTAGCTATATGAAATTGTAGATGATAGTAAGCAAAAATTAAAATTATTACCTTTTTACTGAATTAAAATTAAAACTAATCATTCATTCTTGAATCAAAAGGATAAAAAAAAATTAAGATCTGGATTATGTTTTGTTTCATAGAAAGATAAAAATTAGTATTCTATTTTATCTATTCGCAAAAATATCTATTTCCATGATATTTGACAATAGTTTAATTCTGAAAATTCATTTGTGAAATATGTGTAATTGGGAGAGATGTAATATGCCTGACGTTACTGGTATGAAGTAAAGTTCTTATTTTCTCAGTTTTTTTGACATTGTTACTCAAAGCTGACTCTCGGAAACTATTTAAAAAAAATATTTTTAATTCTATAGATGATGTGTAATGCAAATTGCTCTAAAATAGAGCAAGATATATTTTGATTTTTATTTTAAAAAAGAAGGCAGCTTGGTGACTGATTAATAACTTGTGTTAGAGTGAATGTTTCTTTATGTAAAAAAAAGTTTATTATGTAAAGACACATTGATGAGAATTCTTCTAAGAGTAGTTTTCCTTCCATGGAAGCTTGTATTGTTGTGCTTGCACTTGTGAAAGTAAATCTGTATAAGTGTCTTAGGTTGCAACAACTTTTTCAGTATTTTGGATTGGTTAAAAATGTTTATTTTGGTATTTTATAAGTATCAGAATTTGATGCATATCTGGGTTTAAGTATATGAGGATGCACATTAATGGCTTCATTTGACAAAAATTGTTGTACTAGAAACTGTGGCATGAAGCTTTGAAACAAATTTTATGCTCACATTAACTCATATTCAAATCTGTTATTAAAGTGCTTTGAAATGTACTGTGAGAGGTGTTCATGTCCTCGAAATTTCCCTAATTATAAGTGATAGATTTCATCAAATTATTTCATTACCCTTTCTCTCTATGTTTGATTTTGATGATTTAAGCATATTTCTCTCCCCCTTTTTTTGTTCTTTTCTTGCCTTCATTAAGAAATTTCTTTTACCACTTATAAACTGCAGTATCCTCATAAATTTTTTTCAACATTTTGTGTGCTTCTTAACAAGTTGAGCGCCACATCAGCCATCTGTAGCTGACACTAGACTTTCCATTTAGGCCGCCATTCTCCAACAAGCTCCTCCTCCTCATCAGAAGATGATAAATATACATCCACTCTGGGCTGTTTTCTTGCAAGAATAATTTCACTGCTGCTATTGCTTTCACACTCTTGAACTACATTTTGATGCTCAGGGCTAAAGAAAATTTTTGTCTGTATGGGGCCAGGAACTGCAATGAACTGGTTTGTTGTGAAGGGAACACTGGCCATGAATCTATTTCAATAAAATCTTATCTAGTTGGCCAAAAGGTAAAGAAAACAAAACAGACTTGGCACGTAACGTGTTGAATGAATGCCTATAGGAATCACGTTCCAAACGTAAACTGTCTTCTACTGTGATAAGAATCACTGGCTCTACAATACCAGCGCTTTTTAAGTGGCACACGTGGCCTGAACAGGATTGCGTAAGAAATATGCATGGCACTTGATGTGTTAAGCACATTTTTGTAGTTTGAAATCAAATTTTTTATCAGTGCATTGTTTTAGATGCAGTATATATGACACTTTATTTAAAGCACACCTCCTCTCAACTATAACTCATAGACAGACTGATTGCACTAAACTTGAAATTTGCCATGTAATATTTCTGAGGTTTGATATATTGCTTCCCACATTGAAAATCCCATTTTTTCTTTTGATAACACTCAGCAGCAGCATGTAGCAAATGTATTTAGTACATCTTGAATAATTATAAACTATAGCCGTATTATTTTCTTAAATTCATCTTCATGTATTCATGCTTTACAATGAAATTATAATTGTGGTTTTTATGCAAAACAGTATTCAGGAAGAGAACGTCAGAGTATGCTAACAGCCACATAAGATATTTTTGTATGTTCACATTTGTTTTCTGTTTTTTTCTGCTACATTTTCCATTTTAAAAGAGGCTAGAAATTATTTTCAGTTAAATGAAACTTTAATGCAAAAGTGTACTATTTTTGACATACGACTTACTGTAATTATAGCAATGATATGAACTATAAATCGTAACTATTTTTGAAGTACTGTATACTATCGGGTTACTACTGGAGATGATACCCACTATTAATGTAAAATCACAGTTAATCTAAAGACAATAAAAATACAGGAAAAAAGAATATCCAATATTATAATTAACAGAAAATACTATTACGAATTCAGTTGCATTTTTTGAGCAGTTTAATCCAGAGTATAGATTCATGTAATTGTGTAAATTAGTATTCAAAGCAAAAGGAACACATTATAAATAATGGAAAAATAAACATCATTAGAAATGAAGAAATTAATCTATACATTGTATTTGAACAATATTTGAAAGATGATATGAACAATATGTTGTTGAAATTTGCATAAAAGTTGGTTAGAATTTTGGGTACTTACATCTTATCCTATCGACCATTAAAGTTGGCTGTCATTGAACTATGAAAGTTTACAGATCCCAGAAAAATGTGCCAATTATTCTTGCAGAATTCTGAAGGAACTGACTCATCTTAATGTATTAAACAATCAGTATTTGACACATTTCGTAAAAAGACTCATTGATATCTACCGCTTTGTTAGGCCTTTCAATTTTATTGAATGCTGTGTTTAGAAAGCTATGATTATAAATTTCTTGCAGATAACTGTTTCAGTTTATTACTGTTTTGTTCGTTATTTGTAACTGAACATATCATATCCATTAATATACATTTTTTATGGTTAGAATCCCATAACTTCGAAAATAATCTATTTCATGCTGTTTCATAGAAGGCAGATACCATCTTTTTCTTTAAAAAAAATAACAGTTAATTTATATCTTTATTCATGGAAACGAAATATTCTTTTGATAATTAGTTGGTGTTTACATCAAACAAAAGCACAGTTATTACGAGTATTTTGCTAGGTCACGCAACTGGTTTTAATCACTCTGCTTGGCAAAAGTTTCATGGTTGATGTGATAATATGTAAGTGCTAATACTATTCTGTACAAAATACTAGCACCCTGTTGAAGCCCGCCTAATTCGGTCAGTACAGCACGAGACTCATGGTCAGTACAGCACATGAGCTTGGAGCCATGAGTTTGAGCTCCACATTGGGCAAGAATAACAATTTTAACAATGTTGATTTAAATATACTTTTCCTCTTAGAAACGACTTTCTGAAGATCATATTAGTTCAGAAATAGCATTCCGACATTTAAAAAAAATTAAAGATAATTTATTATTTATTTCTTAGCCGTTTGACAGTAAGCTGATTTCAGCTGTTTTCTATAAGATCAACGATCTTGTGAAGTTTCATTTTATCTCTTGGCAGACTGTCACCTTGCTTTTCCGGTCAGTAGAGAAGGATTTAATAATAAGAATTTGGAAACCTTTATTCTTGAAATATGAAGTTAATGGCTGCACAGTTTTATTTTTAAGATTGAACAGTTTACTTTAAAAGAATGATTTAATTTTTTTATATATTCCAGATTATAAATGATTGTGGCATTGCCAGTGGCTGAGTCATTAACCCTTTCAGGACGAGCATCCCATATACACATTCCCTCTCTGCCTAAGAGGCATTCTTCCTCTTAGGCAGAGAATCCTTGCATGCTTTGTAATATTCATATAACCTAATCTAACTTAATTTGTGAATGGTTATGAATAAAAACAACAATATTATGACATCAGATGTTATCACTTTATAACTGTATCTGACTAATGGAAATATAGATAGGTTACTTGCAGTTTAAAGGCCTGGGATTTTTGATGGGTTTCCATCAAAAGTTGGATCAAATGTAATTATGATAGACAGCTCTTTATCCTTTTCAATAGCTGTTTTCAAGAGTGATACCGCTTAAGTATGAATAATTTTGTATATATCTCTTTCCCTTTTTAGTATTTTTCCTAAATTTTGTGTTATGCTAATGATTTGTGATAATTTTTCTATCACTTATCAATAGACTTTTTTAAGATTAAGTTAATTACAGCTACAGCTTGGTTAACCTCCTTCCAGGTTAATCGGAAGTCTGCTGTGCTGCTGGAACTTGTTACATTTAAAAAACTGTTTTTCTGATAATTAAATTGAAATTAGATTTTTTCTCATCTTTGAATAATTCATAAATGCCTATGCAAAGCTTTCAAGAAGTGTATTTTGCTAACTGAATTCTATTTGCATATCTATTGGCTTTAATTGTATGAATCTGGAAATTTTTGACAGTGTGGTTATGAAAGTGCCAGAGAAGATACTTTCCTTGATGTTCCTCTTGTTGTTCGGCCATTTGGTTCTAGTCAAGCATATGCCAGTGTGGTGAGTTCTTAAATCCTTTAGTGCTTTTCATTAGAGGTTTTCATAAAAGATTTTTTTGTTGTATTTTGTGAAGACTCTCTAAAACCAATTAAAAATTTCTTTTGAATGAGAATAAAAATGAAGAGTTCATATTATTAGTATTGTGGTGAGATTAGAAAAAATTGCACTTGATTATGCCTTAGATCACATAAAAGTTCATTGGAAAGTTTAAATTATTATTTTTTTTTTACTATTTATGTTTTTGCTTTTTAAAAATATAATAATATTTGACCCTCACACATGTTGCACAGTTTTTGCATATTTTAAATGTTCTATAAGAGTCTATATTCTTTAAATATATTTAGGTAATCTGCTGCAGCAGTATTTTTGTTTTTATCTAGATTATGTAGAATTTTAAATAAAATAGTATAAGAGTATCAATAGCTGAAAAGTATGATTGTTAGTGGAAGCTGGTTATAGCATGAGGATGTGCTTTAAAAGATTGTTAAATCATTGGCACTTGTGATAGTTTCCATCATCCTTGTATACATTGACATTTGTGGTACTTCCTATCATCCTTATATACATCTATGTAGCATTTTCAATGGCAGAATAACTAGTTCAGTTATCCTCTGCTAAGTGTCCTGATCAAAAAGTGTCTTTGGGAAGGATACAGATAGAATGTACCATAGGTTTTAGCATAAGTTGTTTCAGAAGATTTTTTTGGGGGGAAGCATTGAAATATTCCTATTTCTTTTGCATTATTATCATCAACAATAGTTTCCATCCTTCACAGAAGTAAAATAATTTTCAAACTGTTGTAGATTTCTGTTTCTGTGTTAAGAATATGCTTGATTCTGCATTCTAGAAGTGAGCTTTTTTTGCCATTAAGAAAATACTGCACATGTCTGAAAATATAATGAGATGGGACTGTATCTGGCTAAGGGAAATATAGATAGGTTACTTGCAATTTAAAGGCATGGGATTTTTGATGGGTTTCCATCAAAACTTTGATCAAATGTAATTGTGATAGACAGCTCTTTATCCTTTTCAATAGCTGTTTTCAAGTGATACTGCTTAAGTGTGGGATTTTGAATTGATTGTCTTTTTATGCAGTGGCTATGAAGGTGGTCATCATCTTTAAATGGAAATCTAAGAGCCATGATAATCTTTCTTGTTCCATTATTACTTTTTCAGCCTGCCATTATGTAGACCTCTATTCCAGTCTCAAGTATCTCTTTTCATCAGTAGATGAAAGGCCAAAAACAGTGTAGTACGAATAACAGGTTGGCTGCATGGAAATTTGTTGTTCCCCAAGTGTCACCTATGTATGAAATTTTTCTGTGAAGGCTTCTCTTTCATTATGAGTTGACCTTTTGAATATTTTGCCATAAGAAGTCAATTATTGACAGCTCAAGAAAGAGTAATTTTGATAGCATCTCTCCAATGAGCAGGAAATTTTTGAACAATACTCTTTTCACGATTTGATAGCATGCAGATATCATGAAACTTATCAAATGCCTGTTTACAATACTAGATGAGCTTAGGTTCTGTGTTTTTTCTTGTATTTTGTGAAAAATTATATGGAATCAAAGCCTTTATCTTTTATTTTGCTTTCTCTCCCTTCAGTTATCACGTATTTTCTAGTATGTTTGTTAATGGAATCCATTGTGTTCTATGCTGATGGGTTTGAATTCTGGTCTGGATTGTAATGTCTTTGTAGAATAGCGACATATGGATCTAAAACTCCTGTAAAAAATTAAGTTAGAGTTTCAAGACCACTGAATTTCATTTTCTTTGATATTGTTGTTGAGATTATGGCACAGGTAGATAGCCATTATATGCTTTGTATCTGGTGTATAATTGAATCTGATATATGAAGTTTGTTTTCTGAAATGTTGCCACGTTTAATTTCAGCAAAGTGCTTCTGAGAGATCTGTTTGATTATTGCATTACATATATGTGCAGCTCAATTTTGCTTTATTGCAAATTACAGATTTTTGCATTAGCAGCAAAAAAGCATATGGTACCAATATTTTTTTTAGATGTGCTGTACATGAAGAAAAGCAGTCTGAATTTATTAAATATAAAGTTATGAAATTTGAGTCACAACATTATAGGTTTTTATAACATGTTTATAGGAATTTATGTTGCTTTTATATTTTTGTAAGTCTTGCTAGCCTCACCTGTAATAAAAATTCAGTAGATTTCACTCTTATTTTAAAAACTGAATTCATATTCATATGTTTGAATTGAAATTATTTGTTTTCATTTCAAGCTCTATTTCTTTGCATATTTTCCCTTCTAGCCTTTTAGTGCCGGGTTTTAAAAATTTTAAAAATATTCATTAAATTTTTCATAATTTCTCATTGCATTCAGAGCATATGGTACCATATCTTCCCTAAATTTAAAAATGGATTCATACACATTGTGATTCTTTTCGTAAAACCCCGGCAATCTGAGAAGGTCATGCCTAAACTTTCTTTTTTTTTAACTGTTCAACTTTATGCCATCCTAATACAAGAATTAGCCCATCATTGCAAATCAAACACAAGCTGGAATTCAGTCTGCGATTTTACCGAATCAGCTGCACATTCATCTTCTCTTAAGTATTTAGGAATGATTCAATGTCTAAGGAGTAGCAGATATAACAATAAGATTGGGCTAGATTCAAGTTAAATTCAAAATAAATGAGATATCTTATTAGATATTGTACTGTTAATATTACTGTGCATTTGTATTGAATGTAGGTCTCTTTTAAAGAAATGATATTGTTATAGGTATTACCAGTAGTTTATCCATGACAGCTTTTCATTTGTTATGTTCTTACTGCCTTTTTTAAAAATTAAATTACTAGCATAAATTTCCCTTTTCCATTTTCGAACAATAAAATTAATGAAAAGGCCAGAAATATGGTTATATCTGGAATAAATTTATAGTGAAAGTATGTGAGTAAATACAGTTTAATAAATATAAATGGTATTTATGTTGTGCTTTAAATTCCTTTAGGGAGAAGCATTGCACGCATTTGTTACGCCAGAAATTCTCCAGGGTTCCAATCAGTATTTTTGTGAACACTGCAATAAAAAATGCGATGCTCATAAAGGATTGAAATTTATTAAATTTCCTTATTTGCTGACATTACAGTTGAAGAGGTTTGATTTTGATCCTGTTACAATGCATCGCATAAAATTAAATGACAGGTGATTATATTTTTGTGTAATAATGATTGTATATTTAATAGCTGATATGTTACTTTGTAACTTATATTTATCCTAATAACTTATTTTCGTTTTATTTGCATAGCTGAAATGTATTTTTATTAACATATTGTATATTTAATAGCTGATATGTAACATATCAGCTATTAAATATACAATATGTAATTTTAGTAAATATACAATATGTAATTAAATATACAATATGCAAACTTAATAGTAAATAGCTATTAAATATACAGGTTGTATTATTTAAGATTAGTTATTTATTTTATTTAAGATAGGGAATTATATTATTTAAGATAGGGAAAATAAAACTTACAGAAATGATTGTATTTTTCTTTTAGGGTATCTTTTCCTGAAATCTTAAATCTGAATGATTTCATCAAGTCAGATAATAGCATGGTAAGTTAAAATCCTTATTAAATTTGAATAATATGTTCAAAAAGAATTCTGAAAAATGCTTTAAAAAGGTCATAGACTTCAACTCATTAGTAAAATAACTGCTTACTGGGTAGGTTTTTTTTTTTTTTTCCAAAGTTTAAAAGTAATTATTTTTGGCTGGACGGGGCTATATATAGCATTAGAAAACTGCTTAAATAAGTAGAACTTTTAAAAACAACTATGTATGATTTTGATAAATGTTTGTTCATTTTATTAATGATTTTAAAATTTTATGTATGAAACTATCAGAGCTGTAAAACTGCTTTAATATTAATTGAAAAAAAAATTGGCTTTTATAAAGGTAGCAATATGACTTATACTGCTGTCTGTGAGAATTAAATATTAGTACATTGCAATTAGCTTGTTGTATGTTTCAGAATTTGTATATTGTGTACAAGTAGGTGGGAACAAGCAATGCATATTAACACAAATAGAACTTCTGCATCACATTTGATGCAGTATTTGGTGAAATATAAACATTACAAGGAGTAACTAAATGCTTATTAAACCCCCAGAACTTGTTCTGAGAGGGATTTTCATTTGAGTCATAATTATGAAACTGATATGCTTATTTTTTGTCTTGTCTTGTTTTATAAATTACTAAAATTAGTTGTTACATTCTTTTAACAAAGTCTTTAATCATAACAGGAGACATGTGATGATGGTGATACTACTGATAGTGGATCTGCCTTAGATGAAGAAGGCATTTGTTATGCAAGTGGTTGTAAAACAGGTTGTTCTCTGTCTCCAGAGGCATTTAGTGACAATGATTTAGCTGATGATGATGAGGGCATTGATGTAGGACCTCATGGACCATCTATGGAGAGCAGCCATGAGCTGTGTGTCAATGAAAGAAATTTAAAGAAGTCTATGGAAAAGGTTAGTCACAGATTTGCTAATATATATTATGCAGCTGTGACATGTGTTCATTCTTTAAGCAGTTTTTGCTTAATTGTATATTATTGATTAGTGATCAGGATAGCAATTTTATCAAAGGACACGTTTCTGTGAATTTTCGAAAATTTCACAAGTTTTTTTCATAAGTATTGCAGGTTTCACCATTTTATTTTTGAACTTTTTATTATGTTAAATTTATTTTTATTTTATATTGAGTAATTTTAATGTTAATTAAGTTAAATAATATAATATTTTATTAGAGTTTAAACAATAATGCATATATATGTATATACGAGGGTTGGAACTTTAATAGTGGCAACTATTTATTTACAAGGAATACAAAGGTGATTCATGTCACCATGTTTTACAGTCCTTCAATATCGTCACCAGCATTGTGTACAACCCATTTTCCAACGATGTGGAAGTTGCAGAATACCTGTAGCAGTGCCTGTTTTGTTGATAGTTTGAATGGATCGGTCTACTGCCGCAAGAATCTCAGGAACAGTTTGGAAGCGAGTGCCACGAAGTGGTTCCTTCATCTTAGGAATTAAGTCATAGTCACAAGGGCTTAGATCTGGGGAGTACGGTGGATGGTAAAGCACTTCCATCCCCATCGCTTGAACAAATCAGTCACAGCTTGCGCTGCAATAAGATGGGTGAAAGCATTCAATGAAGTACACCAAAACGTGGCAGACATGCTGCGGCCAAGTCGTCCTAATGTTAGCGATGCAGACATGCAAGCTGTTGCCGCACTAATGGACAGTGATCGCTGCGCCAAACGATTCGTCAGCTGGCCGGACAAACAGGATTAGCGCATACGACTGTGCTGCACATTCTGAACGAACGCCTGTCCATGAGAAAAATTGCTTCACGATGGGTTTCCACATCAATTGACGGAAATGCAGAAATGGGTGCGATACGATGCTGCCCGAATCCCACCTGGAGCGCTATGAGCGCGAAGGAGAGGCTTTTTTAAGCCGTATCATTACGTTGGAATGAGACTTGGGCCCCGATCGTACCAGCCAGAACTGAAACGCTAATCAAACGAATGGCGTCATCACGGGTCACCACGATGTTCGATTTCATCAGAACCCCAGCAATGTGAAAGTTATGGTGATTCTCGTGTACGACTGTGATGGTGTCATCCTAACGCATACCTGTTCCCCCACAGCACACTGTCACTGCGCAGTTTATTACTGCTCATTTTTGGAGCACTAATCTCCGACCAGCTTTGAAAAAAAACGGCGACGCTTTTCTGCAGAACGCTCCTCTCATTTTGCATGACATGCTCGGCCGCATGCAGCGCAAGCTGTGACTGATTTGTTCAGAGCGATGGGGCTGGGAAGTGCTTTATCCATCCACCATACTCCCCAGATCTAAGCCCTTGTGACTATTACTTAATTCCTAAGATGAAGGAACCACTTCGTGGCACTTCGCTTCCAAACTGTTCCTGAGATTCTTACAGCAGTAGACCGGTCCATTCAAACTATCAATAAAACAGGCGCTGCTACAGGTATTCTGCGACTTCCACATCGTTGGAAACGGGTTGTACACAATGCTGGCGACTATATTGAAGGACTGTAAAACATGGTGACATGAATCACTTTTGTATTCCTTGTAAATAAACAGTTGCCACTATTAAAGTTCCAACCCTCGTACACACACACACACACACACACACACACACGTCATCAAAATTAAATGACAGAAATAAAATGTAACTTATACGTAATGAAAAACTATTAATAGAAATTTGTAAGCATAAATTACTATGTTTGGCAGTTGATTTTGCAAATGGAAATCGGAAAATGTTAGAAAATTTAAGTCACCTCTTGTGGAAAAATGTTTTCTTTAATATGGTGTATGGTCACCCTGGACAAATATGCATACCTCACATCTTGATTTCACAGACTTTACCAAAGTGTTGATCAAGTCTTGTGGAATTGCATGCCACTCATCTAAAAGTGCACTTTTAAGCTCTGGAGGGCCACGGGAAGAATTTAGTGTGCTGAAATTTGGGCATCCCACACATGCTGAATCAGACTGAAGTCGGTTGAGTGATGTGGCCATTTCATTCGAGTGATATATTCTGCTTGCAAGTATTCTGACATCATATATGCTCAATGAAGCCGAGCATTGTCATTAGTAAAAACTAGGCCAACAGCATGCCTAAACAGTCTTACCCGAGTTTACAATAACTCATTCACATATTTCCGAGTGGTCACAGAATCTTCTGGAAGGATATGCAACTTGGTGCGGCCTTTTGTCATAATTCGTTTGCAAACCATTAAAACTGAAATGAGATATTCTTGTCTCAATTTAACATGATGACAGCATCAGTTTAAACAGGCTTCTCTGGAAGTTGGGACGAGTGGGACGCAAACCATTGCTTTTCTCACATACAGTCCAACTACTTTAAGTTTTCAGGCAACAGTAGAATGGCTAATTCGAGTTTCTTTAGCTGCCTGATGGCCTAAAAACTAAATCTCTTGTTGTCACTTTGTAGTATCTTTGAGCCGACAATAACAGAAAATGGTTTTCTGATGCAGTTTTGTTGCTCTTGGTCATGTTTGAACAGGCTGTTGTATCAACTAATCCAGTGCCTAAAAAGGTGGCTTCAAACTCTTGATCTGACACTTTGAGGGATATTCAAATCTCTGATGACTTCCATTTGTGTTTGACCTCCCTCGATTCTACCAATTCTTTGTCATTTTTGACATTCACTGAAATGATGCTTTGAGCCGTAATTACTGAATACTGATCATGCTCAGAAACCACATTCACTTTAAACAACACTACAGACCGAAATTCAACATCCTTCCATTGTGCACCACATTGTCAGTCACCGAATTTGCATATTTCCATTGCAAATGTAAGTGAAGTGGAGGTTTGTATTCAGCTGCATTTAATTAACATAGATAATTACAGTATTGGTCACAACATTAATTATTGAGTATATATTTTCTCATTATCCTTCAGTTTTGATGCACACACCCACAATTTATTTTTAATATACATATATATATACACATTACTGCATCACACACACACATAAAAAAAGAAATTTAGAACTAATGCTTTACAAAGACCAAAAAATGAAATTCAAATAAATTTCTAAAGATCCTATAAATATAGAATTAGAATTATGTAGATGTAAAAAGAAAATTAAAGTTGACCATCACAAGGAAAACCAAAAATAATGGAAGGAAAAAAGAAAAAGAAAGAAGAGGAATTCTAACATAACATCGTCTGGAGGAGGTACATTGAAATTAATTAAAATTCCTCTTTCATAAAAAAATTCTTGCTTTTCTGTATCCACAATTAGCTGATGAACCATTCCTAAATTTAGCTATGCTTTTACTAATAAATTTTTCTGCAGCATAATGTGCGAAAATTTTTGGAATTATATTTTTTTATTTATAAAATTTTTAAAAAATATATATATATAATATATATGTGTGTGTGTGTGTGTACATGTGTATATTTTTTTAAAAAAAGGGGGGGGAAAGATAATTGGATATTAATTCTGTTTATATTATGACAGTTGCATCTCTGTTTGGATAATCAAAATGTCATCTGTTTAAAACCATAAACTTTTTCTGAAATTATACCCACATAGCACAAAAACAACCTCGGGATATCCTGAGGATGTTGCTCGTGGGATAAGTGCACAACCTCAGGACATACTGGAATATCCGTCAAACCTCCTAAGCAAATCCTCTCGAGTGATTAATGTCACATCCCAGGATATCCTCAGGACTACTATATCCCCAGAGCATCTTGGAATATTCTTTTAAGATCCTAAATGCATCCTCCTGAGTGCTTAATGTAACTTTAATATTGTATAACTTTTATTTTTGTTTCAATTTGAATTTCAGTGTATCAGGGGTGTTTGTGCTACGGGAAAACCCTGGAATTCTGGGGATTTTGAACTTCGGTCGTTCGTAAGGAAGTAGGAATAATAATGAATTATTTATTTTGATCTGGGTAATTTTGTTTGCTTTGAAAGCAGAAAACGCAAGGTCAGTGTGTGTGGTAAAAACTTTTCCGTTCTTTCTCCAAAGGCAGTGATAATGTCTGAAAAGGGGGAAAAAACTTCTTTTTTGTTCTTTCCTTATTGCGAGTTATGACTCATTCCCCTGGTTCTCGGACATTCTCTTCTGGATTCTTTTCGGCAAGTAGGTGCGGCAGAAAAAAAAGGGAGAGACTTCGTTCGACCAGATGTGCAAACACATGACTCTGGGTTCAAAGGTCTTATCTCTCCTGGCGTGGCGCCAATAAGTAGAGAAGGGAGATTTTTTGCCGTATTAGCTATTTGTCATTGATCGCTTCTCAACTTTTTTTTCTCCGCTGTGTAAAATTTTCGTTTCATTTATTGATTCACGTGTAAATTTTTCGTTTCGTTTATTGAAATATTTTTTTATTTATGTACGCAAGAGAATTTCACTATGAAATTTCTTGATATAAATAGTGATATTATACAATTAGAAGAAGGTGTCCGGAATGCATTTAGGTGGAATTGGATTGAACGGAGAGATGGTAATGGGGATACCATCGGCACATGGTGCAAGAAAATAAATGTTGCTGGACAAGCGTATTTTGATTTTTGTAACTCACTGCTGAAGTATGGTGGGGAAGGATTCAAGGCTTTCACAAATCATTCTAAAACTGTGACGCACATAAAATATTCAAAGTGCATTAGACATTCAATGACTTTAAGTAATTACGCTAATTCAAAAAATACTGATGACTTACTGGAGACTGATGCTCGGCCATTGGATATAGTGACAAGAAAAGCACGCCAAGAGGTATTAACAACTTCGTTTATCGCCGAGAATTTTCTTTCTTTCAATGTAGCTCCCAATTTAATTGAACTCTGCAAACAGTTGAGCCGCGATCAGACGGCATTAAACTCGTTGGAAATGTCCAGGACTACTGCATGTTATAAGACGAAATATGGGCTCGCAAAAACTATTAAGGAAAATATCATTAAAACTTTAAAGGAGACTCCATTTTCTCTAAATTTGGATGAAAGTACTAACAATGCTCAAGAAAGTATACTGGCAATATTGGTGCAGTTTTATGACAACAGTCAAAATGAAGTTGTAGTTCATCATTTTGCATCTCTAAAGATAGAATCTTGCAATTCAGAAGCTGTTTTTAAATCAGTTGTTAATACTATTGAAGATAATAATATTCCATGGACAAACTTAATTAGTGTATTAATGGACTCGTGTAACACCATGCGTGGAAAAAAAAAAGTGTTGAAACCAGACTATGATCAAACAAAGCACCCCACTTATTAGATATTGATGGTGAGACATGTCACACAGCTAATAACTGCAAAAAAATTTGCTTCATGTTTTGATATATACTTTCATTTGTTTGATGACATCTATTTTGATATGAAAAGCTGCAGTAAAAGAGAAAATTTTTTCAAAATCTGTGAATCCCTTGCCATTAAAAAACTTAAGCCCTTGAAGAGACCAGACCATAGGTGGGTGTACATTTTATGTATTTTAGAAAGAATCAAAGATCTGTGGGATGCTCTTATTGCATTTTATTTTCACTACTTGGATAAAACTGATAAAGGGGATTATTTTTCTTATGTTGAAACTGTATACAATAAAAGAAATATTTCTGCAGCTCAGAAAAAAATTGTTGAAGGGGTGTATTCTTGCTTGCATTCCCAACAACTCACAAAGGATGCTTTAGCTCGGAAAAAAAGAATACTAAATGGGTTATTTGTTATGCAAAACAAAACTTTATTGCATATGGCATTATATTCAGCAGTATTACCAGAGTTCAACACATATATTAAATTATTTGAAAAAAAAAAAAATGCTTCATTTAATACATTCCAGTATTTATAAATTGATGGCAAAATTTTTCTCTTTTTTTATGAAGCCAGAAAATATAGAGTGCACATCTTATAATGATTTATTAAAGGTTGATGTCACAAATCCAGAATTCCATCTACCTAGCAAAGTAATATTTACTGGTGCAGAAGCTTCCACTCTCCTGAAGAAATTATCAAAAAATCATCCAATAGCAAAAGAATTCCAAATTTCTTTGATGAAAGCTTATACTAATACAGCATAGCATATGAAACAGAAATTACCCCTTAAAAATTCATATCTAATTAGTTTTACAGCATTAGATCCAGAGCTAAGAGGTAAAACCAGTACAATATTAGCTTTTGAAAAATTATCTTTTATGTCCCATATTTTTAGTGATAATGAAAAGTCAAAAGTTGAAGCTGAAATAAGGTTATACCAGAGTGATATTGATATCACAAAGAAATGCTCTACACATCTGATGAAAGTGGAAATCAAGTCAAGTGTACAATTGATAAATAATGGTCTAAAGTTTTTAATTTAAAAGATGATTTCACAAATGATTATAAGTATCCTACATTGGCTAAATTGGTCAAAGCCTGCCTTAGCTGCTTCCATGGCCCATTAGTGGAAAGTGCATTCAACTTAATGGATACACTTGTCACTGACTATAGAACCTCTCTTAAGATTGATTCCCTAGATGCAGTGCAGACTATTAAATATGATTTAATGGCTTCTAAAGAAACCTCATGTGATAAATATGGCTTAAAAAATCCAATGACTGATCCAATTCACAAACATCTCTTACTGAATATGAAAAGAAGTTGGAAAACATATCAAGAGGGCTTAAAAACATGTATTTCAGATGAGTCACCTATAAAAGTCTCTGAAAAACCTTCTACATTAGCAGAAAAGCAAACTGCTTCTACCTCTGCATGTGCAGTTCTCGAGGAAATTTCTTCAACTGTAAATGAGGAAAATAAAAGTCAACCTTCCTGCAATTATGAAGTTCACCACAAAAGAAAGACAAGCCCACAAACATCAGAAAATAAAAAAAAGCAGCAGAAATTAGATAATTTTTTTTTAAAGAATTAATTCAGGTAATTTAAAATATTTACATAAAATGTAGTAGTTTATATGTTTGAAAATTTATGGTTATTAATTTTGCAAAAAAAAGTAATTCATTGAACTTTTATAATTAGGTCATTCAATACTTCATAATTGTAATTTTTCATTTCTCTCCCCCATCCCTTCTCGAAACTCCAAAATGTCGGTAGTAAGTCTGTAAAACTTTCAGAGGATTTTTTGGGGTCCCACAAACACCCCTGGTGTATTTAATAATTTGTAAATATATCCAAAAGAAAGCAAAGGACTTAATCATCAGTGCAAAATATTACAAGAAAAAGTTCTGTTTTTAAAATATTAAAAATCTTTTATTTTTAAACATTCAGTAGCCCAAAGCAAAGTTCAATATATTCATAATTAAATTATTCTATAAAATCAGTTTCCAATTTCATTTAATTTTTTTTTTTTTTTTTTTTTTTTACAAATGTTGGGCATTTCCCTATAACGGCGTTGGCCACTACTAAGCCTAGAAGCGGTGACCATTTTATTGTGGAGGCACTTAATAGGTGGCCACTGTTGCCTCTTATGAAGGGACAAACAATTTTACATCCATGTCTTCTCTGTGATCCGAACCTGGGCACTTTGGTATTGCAGTCAGGCTCCCTTAACCACTATACCCTCTGTGTGGCATTTCATTTAATATTTACAGAGTTAATGAATCATTCTTCTCTTAACACGTGTAAGAAATTTGTTTGCACTTTGGCTGTAATTTGTATAGGAATCATTTCTGACTGTATTGTTTATCTTAATGCAGTGAATTGCCTGTATAATTTGGTTCACAAAAATATGGCAAGAGAATTGAAACAAACCTAGAATAACATCAATTTCATTTTAATATGATTTGGAAGTTGGAGAATTCTTATATTACTCAGGATCTTGCTGCATGATTTCTCTTTCATACAGATTGAATTATTAGATAAGTTTCAAAATTCTTGGGAGCATAATATCAAAATTTGGTTGCTGTTGAAGATATTTTAGAAGCTGAAAATATTTTGTAGGAAAGAAACAGACTTATATTAATTGTGTTATTTATATACCATTATAGCAAGCTCTTTGGAGATAATAATTACAAAATTTGATTGATAACTTTTGATATTGTGTATAATTTCTTATGAGAAAAATATCTATCAGAAAATTTTATTCTTTCAGGGTCCATATGTATATGAATTATTTTCCATCATGGTTCATTCTGGAAGTGCAAATGGTGGTCATTATTACGCATACATTAAGTAAGATAATTTTAATTTTCTTAGTTATTTTAAGATTTCTGAATATTTATTGAATGTATTGGGCTTAATATTTATTGAATGTGGTGGGTTCTATAGAAGATGAATTATACAGATGTAGATAAATTATTTTATGTATTATTTGTTTAAATTTCATGCTACTTTTCTGTGGAAACTATAAAAATTTATATACAGTCAAAAGTCGTTAATCCGGACCTCAAAGCTGCGTATGCGTCAACGCATGCGCATAGGCGTTTACGCATGTATGTTTAATGTATAACAAACGGTATAAGCTAAGCTAAAATTATCTAATTATCTATTTCAGTTAATGTTGCAGATTGCATTGTTCCTTAATCTTCGAATTGGATTCAGCTTATTATTTTTTGCAGACTGTTAGAGCAATTTTATAAAAGTAAGCTTGAACTTTCGATTATGCCAAATAGAATTTCCAATGCTGGAGCTGCCAAAGGATCTGCAAAGCGAAAGCATGTTTCGATGTCCATTAAACAAAAAATGGAACTGCCTCAAAAATTGGATAAAGGCATGAAGAAAGTGACAGAGAGGTGATTTGTTTCTCTAACCATTCTGAAATCTGTTTCTCAATTTCACGCTGCTCTGCGGAAGGGGGGGGGGTACGTCGCGACGCACAATGAACTGGAAGTTGATCTGTCAGCACTATCCTCATCTTCAGGGTAGATGTTTTTATTTTATTCGGCTTATAATTCCTCACTAAATGTATTGTTTCATCTCGATGTATTCCTATATAATTTAAATCAATTTCGTCATCGTTTTTGTAAATATCACGAATGCACATCAAATAGTTTTCTGGTTGCAATTTTCTAATTTCGACTGTGCATAATGTATGCTTTGCGCATGCGCGTGTTGAAAGAAATGTTTAATAAAGTAAACAAATAAATATTAAGCTTTTTTTTTTTTTTTTTTTTTTTTTTTTTGTAAATTTTGATACCTTTTAGATCATAATTGCTCTTTATTTCATAAATTACGGTTTCATATTTTTAATTTTATAATTTCTGCATGCCATCTTACCAGATTTAAACTGATTATCTATAATCCGGAATCGGCGAAGTCCCAACGAGTCCGGATTAAAGACTTTTGACTGTAATATATAAAGTGTGGGTGTAGTATACAAAAAGTAGTTTCTTGATAACTTTCCTTTAATTAGTCTTTTAATAAGATAAGAATTATTTATTTTCATATTCATTTGCCATTTCAGTATACTACAATAAAAAATGCTTGAAAATGCTGAAAAACTTAAATCTCATTCTGTGTTTTTAAAGGTTAGAAGAATATCATGAAAGTATTTCTAACCATTAAGATTAGCATTTAATATTCATTGTGCAGTTCATTATGGTAATCTCATCTCTGAGGCATACTGTAAAGAGAGAATTCTAGCTTCCATAGTCATTGGAAGTTTTAAAATTAATGAATGGGTGTAGTGTTTTATGTAGTTGTTTGAAAAATGTTGCCAATCTAAGGAACAAACATTCATTCTAGTGAAATTCGACACTATGTTTATTAAAATTAGTCAAAGTATGATTCCTGAACATCTGTGCATTTCTGCAGTCAAAGAACAAGATCATTTGTGCCTTGTTAATAAAAAATCTGGCTCTGGTGCTGAAAAATCTGAGAATCTAGCTTCTGTGTCAGTTTTGTTGCTAAAAATAAGTGTCTAGGTGCTTGAAAAAATGTCGGTAGGAGAAAGATTGGGAGTATGTGAAGGATGTGGTAAAGCCTTGTATTCAGAAGTTCATTATCTGATCTGCATGACCATCTTCATCTTCAAGGCTCTCATTGTCACTTTATAGAATATCTGAAAACACATTTGTACTGTCTTAACACTTGTGGATCCTTCTTTCCATGCTCTGTTGATATTGCATTATTACAGTCTGCATTATGACAGTTTGAACTCATGCAAGGAAAATAAATGCATTTCATCTTTTTCATATTTGTTATTAAGGGCTTGTGTGCTTCAAAATTGTGTAACACTCTGTGTTCAGTTTTAAAAATGTTTATGCCTTATTTTATCTTTTTCTATAGATGTCACTGCCCTCACACAAATGTGTAATTCGTAATGTGTTTTTTAATTTTGCGGTGTGTTTGTGGCAACAGATTAAATAAAACCAAACGACTAGTATTCAATGCTAAGAAAGAATGAACTCATGTAAACAATTCTAATAGCTGATAAAGTCAAAATCTTATTCAATTCTTTGAGTCTTTTACTGTGTCAAATTAAAGTATTTCCAGGTAACTATAAGTCGATAAAAATTCAAGATAAGCTATTTAATAATTATTAATTATTGAACTTACCAACAAACACTCTGAATGGAAGAAATTATAGGATAATTATTAAAGACTACGAATCAGTTATTAAGCATATAAAATTTTCTATAAAGCTCTGCAAAATTAGCAATTACTTTCAAACTTTAAAACTTGAAAAATCAGCCTGTGTTTTCCGAATTCCTGAACAAGCTGATATTTGAATCTTCCTTCTTTGAATTGACATAGTGACCTTTTCAGTGTAATAAATTAATGTAAAATTTCAGAATTATTACTTGAAAGAAATAATAGTAATAAATTTGGACATCTGTAGCACAAGGAAGAAATGGTGAATGAATATCATTCAAAAACTGCATATGAAGCACAACTGTAATATACAGACATATACAGTACCAAGTCCGTAATCCGGAGCTCAAAGCCACAAACTTGACGCATGCACATAGAGAGTGCGCATACATTGTACATTACGCGCATATGCTTTTACTTTTACTCATGCGCGCGGTGAAAGAAATGTTTAATGAAGTAAACAAATAAATATTAAGCTTTTTTTTTATAAAATTTTTTTAGATCTTAATTGCTTTTTATTTCAAAAACTATGGTTTCATATTTTTAATAGTATAATTTCTGTATGCCATCTTACCAGATTTAAATTGATGATCTATAATCCGGAATTGCCGAAGTCCCGATGAGTCCGGATTAAGGACTTAGTACTATATATGAGTAGTGCAGACTAAAATAATTTACTTAACACTATATATGTAGTAAAAAAAACTATATATGTAGTTAAAAAAAAAAAAAAAAAGAAAGCTTTCAGATTTTACATTACGCCCAAAGGCACGTTTTTTTAACATCTTGTGTGTTAGCTTTATTTATTAAATATCATGTGCTTTGCATCATAAAATTCAATTCAACAGCAATATCACAAAATAATTTTAAAATGAGCATATCTTTAGAATTTCTGATACAGTCTCATATGCTGTAGATAAATTTTTTTTTTTTCCTGTACAATGTTGCCATTGCTCACATTGAAATCATTGAGTTTGTTAATAAAAAATTTGTTAGTGTGTTACAAAATATGGAATCTATAATAAAACAAATTCCAAATTAGGGCCTCCAGATGCCCGTATTCGGTGGAGGATTACGTTATTCAAAGTTTGATGGCTCTAGGTACCATTGTTTTATAACAATGCGAGAAACATACATACATTTATGCATATTATTCATTATTTAATTTCTTTAAATATAATATAGGGCTCTAATATTTGTTGGCAACAATTTAAAAAGTGATTCTCCGTTTATAGTTCTGGGAAAATTGGCCCTTTGGATTAAAAAAAAAAAAAAAAAAAGTCAGTGTTCTCTAGAATAAATTAATAATATTAAGCCTAATTAGATAAAATAAGGTGAACATTCAGTTCTGTACACTAACATATTTCATGTGAAGAAATCATCTGCTTTATCATGACATGTTAAGAAGTTCATCTAGAAGATATATACGAGAAGTAAAACTATTTATATATTTTGCAAGTGCAAGAAATAAATGACCTTTGAATAATAATCAGAAGTTGAAATATTAACCTGCCTACTTTTTGTTAACATTGCATTTATGAACATCATTTTTAGGGCACTGGTTGTTAAGTCTTGGCAGGGTACATTAATTGACTAATACTATAAGGAAGGTAATAAATTCCTCATGAAACATCCCGTGCAAATAGACAGATGAAACAGATGTTAAATGGTAAAGAACAATGTAGATATGGGAAAGGAACTGAATTAAGAAGTCCTTAAGAACATGATTATAGACCATTGCTCAAAGGTAGCACAGCAGATGTCTGAAATTACAAATATTCTGAGCTTATGTTGAGTATTTTAGCTTGGGAGTACTAAGAGTGAATTCTGGACATTCCAGATGTAAAATTTCAAAAGTTTTCTTGCTGAAATAGTAAATATTAGTCAGTACAATACAATTCAATTCAATAGCATATCTGCCAGTTCTCTTGATTTTATCAGGAGACTCTTGATTCTTCATCACATCTTGTTCTCCCTTTTTTAAAAATAAAAATATCTTAAATATGTATGCATTGGGGGACTGCAGGAAAAGTTAGATTTTTAAACTTAATTGATTTTTTTAAATTAAAAAAATTTTAATTTAAAAAACAGGAATCTGTTGTGTCGTTTAAACTTTTTCATAATTGGAAGTACATATTTATAACCAATGATTGCAAAAATAAAGTCTGGTGGATATTTAATGGATATAATGCATATACATAAATAATTATTAGACAAATTTGGTCTTTGGTGCTTTTTAAATATGCATCATTGGAAAAGCTTAAATTTAACTAAAGCGATAAGACTATCTAAGAAGTAAGTAAAATGAAATTGGAAAAAAATTAGTATATAAGTATTGTTAGCAAAATATTTAAGAAGATACAAATAACATTGATTTAAAATTAGTAATTTTATTAATATTCTCCAACATTCCTACTTTTAATTGAATAATATATCTCTCCATAGTTATCTTTTTAAATATATTACATACAGCATTTCTCCTCATGATTGAGATATTGATACTTAAGAATTTTTTGATATAAATAATAATTCTCTAATTACATATTCATTCAATTTATTAAACTTAAATGAACACCTCTTAGGACCAAAAACTGTTCATTTAAGTTTAATAAATTGAATGAATATGTAATTAGAGAATTATTATTTATATCAAATGTATATATTTGCCTTAAGGCAGTGTAAAGAATTCTGTGCAGAAATGTTTTGCATCATAATGTTATTCTCTTTGATTTCAGGTCTTTCAAGCATGGAGAGTGGTATTGTGTTTTAATGATGCTCAAGTGACAAGGGTAAGGATAAAAGTTGTCTTAATTTAAAATTAAGTTTTTCAATAGCAAGATGCTAATCTACAATGAAATTACAAATTTTCCTCTTGTGTTATCTAGATAACCTATGATGATATTCAAAAAACATATGGTGGTGGTCCAACAAGAGGTTATTACTCTAGTTCCTATTCAAGGTATGAATGTAATAAATAACTGCATTACTAGAATTTTCTAGGAAAGCCTGTTGAAGTGTTGAAAATGCAAAAGAATTTGCGTAACTCTGTGTTCATATTTGTTTATAAGAATATGAAGGTGTTCTAACAAAGACATTGGATATAATAGGCCCAATGAAAATACTTTATTTTTAGAAAACTGAAAATATTTTTACATACTTCTGATAGATAAATGTTCCGATTTAAGAATGAAAAGTAATAATCTCCATCATTTGTTTTTCTAGCACCATATTCTTTTGAAATTTGTAATTATTTTTTCGTATTGAGTCTCACTTTCTTGTCTGTCGTTTAACTTAGCACTGGAAAAGTCCATACGAGACTCTCAACTAAACACAAGTGGAACTATTGCACAAAGAACAATTCATCTGGTAGCTCTCACCAATAACATTGACATCATTAGATGATCTAAACAGCCTGTTGTTGGGGCATTTTTCTCGCTTGAATATGCAGCAAGGAGGATGGATCTAACCAACGATGAGGATAGGACAAAATTTATGATAGTAACAAAATCATGGACCTACCCCTTTTAAAGATCCACAGTTATTTTGTTGAAACCATTAAACAATTTAAATATCTGGGTACAATGATTTCAAGCTGTAATGACATTGAAATTAAAAACAGGATATCTATGTCCATCATACATTTTTGCAGACTAAGAAATCAAATCCAAATTAATTAGCAAAAAAACCAAAATAAGTGTATTAAGATTTTGATAAGACCTGTGGCCCCTGAATGGAAGTGAATACTGGACACTTAGCAACACAGAGAAAGCTCTGCTGCTGATATTTGAAAGAAAAATTCTAAGGAAGATTGTTGGACTGGCGAGGCAAAATGAACTATGGAGAATATTGTATAATTATGAAATCGATAGGAAATATAATGAATCTGATATTGTCAAAATTGTAAAGGCATTAAGGATGGTTAAACCATATTTACAGATATGCTGATACATTTCATAATAAAAGATAACCTTCTCAAAAATAGAGGGGAAGCGACAAAATGAAGACCACCCATTGGATGGAAGGGTAGTGCAGAAAAGAATTTGAAACTGATGGGAAGTTGTGATGGATAGGGTCAGGTGGAGAAAACTTGGAGAAGCAGCCTTGGCCTTTAGCAGGCTTTAGAGCTGAGAAGAATCACTTTTTCACATAGCTCACCATTTAGGGTGGCTAATGACACATCGAGTTTCCTCTTTAAGTCCTTGGTAATTTTTCTTGGATTCTAAGGTCGAATATTTTGGGACTTCCATTAACACTGTCAACAGCTTTCTACAGAGTAGATGGATTGAGAGCATGGAGTAGATGGATTAATGCCTTTTGTTGAATCTGGGTCCTCAAATTTCTTTATGAATCTACAAACCGTTGTTTTATTAGGTGCCCTTTCACATCCAAAGACTGCAGAAACTTCCTGACAGTCTGTGCGTCATAACACTCGGCATTCTTGTAATGAGTCTCACAATCAAAATTTTGATAAAAACTTCTTTGCAGAATGCTCTGTATATACTAAGCTGCAAAATGAACTGACAGTGGTAAAGTATCAGTGCCGCCAGGTCAAATCAAACTCAACATTCTTAAATTGGAATATGCTTGTTTTATGAAAAAAATATTTTCCATTTTCTAAAAATAAAGTATTTTTTGGGGTACATTCAATCAGCACTTTTGTTGGCACGAAAGTTAAACATTGTTTGTAATGTGGGATGGTTAAATTTACTAATTTATCAGTTAAGAATCAGGCATTCAATCCAATTTCATGTCATAGATTCATATCTGTTTTATACATAATGTGAAAATATGCATGACGGAATTTTTTTTATGTTTATTATTGACATATATATAAACATAGCTGAAGAACATTTCACAAACTGTTTAAAAAACAGATGTGCCTTCTTATTTGGTTATTCAACTTGCACAGTATGTGGCATTTTGTTATATGAATATCAATGTGGGGTGTTGTATATATCATTTAATATATAGATGTGCCTTCATATTTGGTTATTCAGCTTGCACAGTATGTGGTATTTTATGAATATTTAAGAACGTTGCATGAATATCAGTGTAGGGTGTTGTATATATCATTTAATATGTATTAGCGATAATTTCATGTGACTAATGTAAATTTTGGAATGCATTGGCAAAAATGAAAACTTTATATAGGTTGTAAACTATGTAAAGTTTCTAAATTCTGTTTTGAGAATTTAGTAATTCATTATTATTAGTAATAAAGGAAATATGTAAAATGGATTCTTTTTTATGCTGTTGTTTTTATTTTATGTATCTGGAAGAATAATTTGTTGAGAATTTGTTATATTCTATGTATTTTTTTTTATTATGCACTATTGCATTAATGAGGCTTTTATTTTTCAGTTCTACAAATGCATACATGTTGATGTATCGTCAGATTGATAAAGAAAAAAATGCTGGTAAGAAATACCATTTTACAGTTTATTTATTTTATGCTGTGATAAAATAATTCAGCAGTCGCTATTTACTTTATATATTATTCATTAGTTTTCTCCTTTTCAAGTATAATGCACAATTTATTTAACCTGTCTAAGAAGAATAGTGGAAAGACTAAACCAGGTGTACTATGCAGAAGCTTTAATACATCAGAAAAAGGGATGTAGATTAATTAGAACAGTTTCCCAGTTCTTTATTTTTGGTCAATTTAGAATTAACATTATTAACTATTGCATTTTATAATTGTATTTCTGCCTCTAACCTAATTCAGGTTAAAAAAAAAAAATCAAGGCTATTTTTTTAGATGCAATAAAAATGTGGATTATTGGAATAGTAGTGATAAAAGCATGTTAAATGTGAAAGAAATACCCTAGAAAAAAATTAAATAGTTCTCATGATATTATCCTGACTTAAATGTAAATTAGTACATGGCAGTGAGAAAAGAAATTTGTTTTCTTAGAATCTGCATATAAATCACATATTAAACATGCAGTGGTACTTTTATATTTCTGATGATCCTAAAATCGTAAAAAATCGATATTAAGAATGACGGTGTCGCTAAAAGATACAACTGTGTCAATCTATTGTTTTAAGAATAAGTATTTGCTTCTAATATATGGTTAGTCTATGCAGCTAAATAATCTTACACCCAAAATGCAACATTATGATGAAAGCATCCAAACAGCTTGAAATTTCCATAATGTGTATATAATGATGGACTATGCAAACAACTGCAATTTAGAACGTGTGCAGATCATGAGCGATTGCAGTACTCCTTACAATCCATGTATAATGGGAGAAAAGATTGTTGTTTTGAAAAATGGGAATTGTTCTTTGGTGAGATTTATTTTGTGTGCAGCTTCAGTATATCTCGTAGAAAAATACGAGCATCATTTGGGTACGTTTCTGAATTCGGCTGAGGTTCCTTACATACAGAGATTGCTTATCATTGCTTTCATGAAATTGGTTATCATATTTGGCATAGCCAAGCAACAGTCATTGGACTATGGAATAAATGCATGCAAGAGGGACCAGGAAGAGGATAGGAGTGATTGTAACTGCCTCATCACACAATTTCATGGGAAGGTGAGCATATATTGTGCTCTTGCCACTGAGACAGCACACTGCTACATCTGCAGCCATATCCCAATGAATGCAGTCCGTAACACAACAATTGGTGTCTGCGCAAACAATTCGATGTCGTTTACAGTACAATGGACTGTCCACTAAGCATCTGTGGTTTTGCTTTATACTACAGCATGGTTCATACAGTCCCAAGTTCTTAGGTTTTTTTGAAAATGATTTTTGATCCTTACAAGTCCTTAATTTTGGCCAAAACCAGCAAAAGATCCTTAATTGTAATCATCTGACATTTTTATCTGTTTTTTATTACTGCCATTTTTAGTGTGTATTAACATTTTGAAGGACTATTTTTGAAGATGTATTGACAAATATGTATTTGATGTGTTAATGTTTGAATTTTTTCCTACTTTTTGATATAAATGGTGATTGCTTTAGATATGAGGCCCTGCCTCTGTTGGAACATTTCAAAATAATTTTTTTTTTTTTTTTTTTTTTTCCCCCTGAATGAAGAGTTCATTTTTGGGATATGAACTCTTTTATTATCTGGTGTAAATTTGGTGACTTATCAACATTTTGGCAATTTCAGATTCATTTAAAAAACACTTTGGCAATCAGTTTGTGTACAACATTTTTTATTCAGAGATTGGCGAAGTGTTAATGATTTTTTTACAAACACTAAACATTTAAAAAAAATTAACAGTGTTTTCAGAAATCTTTTGCCGTGCTCTTACAGAGTTGGCAGGGATAATTTTCCTTTTGGATCTACCTTGCACCTCAGAAAGACCAAAGGCAAGTTGTATAGATTATTATTTTGAAGGAAGATTTATGGACCTACAAAAAAAAAAAGGAAATGGATTTTCAAAATTTCCTGAAAATGGAAAGTATGTCTCTCTAACATGTAATTTATATGTTTCATAGGAAATTTGCGATGAATTTCTCATCTTTTGGAGAAAACCTTGAAGAACAGTGAATACAAAATTATTTGAATTTTATCCTTTTGATCCCAGAAATCTTTTGTTTAACATGTTTATATTCCCTTTATATTCTTATCTTTCCATTAGACAGAAGCATTGAAGCATCCAGAAACAGCAAAGAAATTTAAAAACTGACAATTTTTTAAAAGATTCATCATATATGTAACAGTGCATGATATATACCTCAGTGTCTACCCTAAATTCTAAAAATTTTGCCCTAAATTGTGTTGCTCGGTGCTTCCTTAAATTCTAAAAATTCTGGTACATTGGATCTGACACTGGCCTTGACCTTATATTATTTCATATCTATTCTTAATATTCATTATTAAAGCAATAAAATTCACATTTCTTTTATACGTTCTGAGTACAAGCAGCTCTTTAGGATAAAAGAAATCTTTAATTAAATCTGAAAATTCTAAACGGAAGAGGAAATTCATTAAAAAAGAAATTGGTTTTATAAAGAGAGAAAATTAGTCTTCACAGGTTCATTGTTGAAATGTTAACAAATTAGAAGTGGATGCTAGTAGGAACATTGATTTATTTACTGAAATAAATGAACTTGGAAAAGATGCTAAAGAGAGGGAAACTGGAAAGAATATAATTTAACTTAAAATATCTGGAAATTTTTCAAGTTAAAAAGATGCACAAACATTTGGTTGTTTGTTGTCGCTATAAAACATAGATTTTTTGTAGCTTTTAATGTATAGTTAGTTATGCTAATGTCATTTTAAAATCATTATTATAAATTAGAAGTGCTATAAAATGTTCTTGGTGTTTTTTTAATGGATATTTATAGAAATTAAAAAAAAAAAAAAAACTGTAATTTTTAATGTTATGACTAAGAGTATCTTATTACATAATTTAATTATTTTTAAATAACTCCTCACCCTTACAAGTTATCTCTCCATCTTATATCCTTTTCTTAACCCTTATTGTGTATGGAAAGTACACCACCAAAAATATAAAAATTTATTCCTTACAGCCAATGAGACTTAAAATAATACAAAACAACCCATCATCTCTGGTACTTCAGTGGCTTATTGGCACTTTGTATTAAACTTTGTATATGAACTTTTTAATATAAACTTATAAATATGAATTTTGTATTTTCAAAGACAGAAAAAATATATTCAAAGGTACATTTTTAAAACATTAACAAATTAGGAGATGAAGCAGAGACTAGTGGGAGCATTGATTTATTGAAGCAATTAAACCAGAAAAGAGGCTGAAGAGAAGGAAATTGATGTAAATTAGCTAAAATATCTGGAAAATTTTCAAATTAAAAAGACATAAAAGCATTATTTTTTTTTGTTGTAGTTACAAAGCAAATTTTTTTGTATAGTCATACAAATATTATTTTAGAATCAATGTCGTAAATTATAACCGCTGTAAAATGTTCTTAATGCTTTTTAATGGATACTTTTAACAGTAAAAAATTTGTAATGTTAGCTGTGTAGATCTCTCATGATTAAGGGATGTAGATCTTTTATGATGTAACTACTTAATTATTTTTTACTAACTGCTCGTAACTATGTAATTAGTTGTTACGAATTGCTCATCCATAGAAGCTATCTCTATATGTTAAGATGATTTATCTCCTTTCCTTAAAAAAAAAAAAAAAAAAAAAAAAAAAAAAAAAAAAAAAAAATCTGTGATGCTTCAGCAGCTTTTTGGAACTTTATATTAAATACTGTTATATTAAGTAGATTACAACTCCAGCAAATCTACATGAAGCTACAGCCCTAACTGGGATAGGCAAAGTGCAGCTAACTTTCAATACTTAACAACCATACCAACATTAGTCATTCATGTTTGTTCTGATCAGCGATTCCTGTCAAGCAAGCAAGCTGCATTGGAATAATCAAGCTTCTGGGGAGTCATTAGGGAAAATGACCGACTCTGACTCCTAGAATTTTAATTTTAAAGAATGACTCTGACTCGCTCATATATATGTAAACATATACACATGTTTTGCAGTTTTTTTTTAAATATAAAAGAAGTAATAGATGCTGGATGATGAGTCATAATTTAAATTTGTTTAGGATCAGGTTAGGAGAGCATTATATTGACAATCAAAACTTCAAGATTTCACAGAACGCAGAAATAACATTTATTAACGATAAAACTTAAAGATCTAATTATTACTTCCGCCTATAGCGGCCATGAAAACACAATCAAGCATCAAATAAATATGACATGCGTCATTCTTCATGTTCAAGCGTCAAGTGAATATTTTTTCATCGGCGCGCATCAAGAGCGCCACCTATCTACCAAAAGACGGAACATACTCCGCCCCGATGAACATTGGTTCATTACAACATTATTATAAAGATCTTCAATTTTAGATTTAAAAAAAGTTTTCCCAAAAGTTCAACAGTATATCATATAAAATAAAAATGCATAATGACAAATTTAAATTGAATAACAACATTAAATTTAGCACAAAATTTTACAAATAAAACATACTTACAATCTCTAGAAGGAAAACAAAATAATAATGAAACTGCTAAATTACCATAATCCACAATTGTGGTCCATTCTCTGAATCTGAAACATATTAATGAATTAATAATAATAATAAAGACACAAATTATGAATATACAATTAATGTTTTTTTTTTTTAGAGTCTTATTCACTCAATGGTAAGCGGGAAAGTTTATGTATAGGACGCTTCATTTCGCCCAATAAAGTTTTTAGTTTCACAACACGAACTTTTCCATCAGCACCAGGATATAGTTCAATTACTCGTCCAAGTCGCCACTTTAATTGAGGCAAATTTTTGCTCCATTAACGTGCTTTATCAAGACTAAGTCATTGAGGGCTAAATTTGGTTTATCCCTCAACCATTTGGTACGCCCTTGTAATTGTGAAAGATAATCTCTAGACCAACGTTTCCAAAAGCTCTG